TAAGTATATAGCAAACATTAAGTTAGAATAATTATGTTAATTTTAGGAATAGAAACAGAACATTCATTTTGATGAAATATATGCGCACGGTTTCGAATAACGTAAATCCGAGTTCGGGTTTCATCAGGTTCCATGTTTTCTTGAATAGTAAATCTAATCAAAAAAAAAAATACAATAAAAATAAAAGCAAAAAAAAAAAAATAAATACGATAAAAAAAAAAAATATAAATTTTAATTTTAGGGACAGACAAAGGAAATTCATTGAGGAACTAAAAATGGCAATCGAACAAGAAATACACGAAACATATACTTTAGGACCGGAACACACACCGAGGTGTTTAATAGGACATATTAATACCGCGAATAATTGTATGGAAGAACCATTTAATACTCTCGAAATAACGAAAATTACGCGAATTCTAACTCTAATTATGTCATCAGATCCAGTGACACCCACATGTAAACGATTAATAGATTATATGAGATATTTGCACGATACTAGAGATATAACGGATTATGTAAGATGGTTTTAATTTTATAAGAATATAATAAGATATTTAGTTTAATATAAATATAATTTGTACACAGTAATTTGTTATAGTACTAGCATCAATATCTATTATACTAATAATAGCAATTTATATAATGATAAAATACAAGTATATCAGGATCACAGAAGTCATGGAATTACCCGTCAAAATAGTTAGATATAGGACACCCAATAGAAATGAATACGTACGAAATTATGAAGAGACACCCTTTACTCCACCACCGTCGCCAAGATAAATAGAATAAAAATTTATTAAGAGTAGTCACTAGTCACTAGTCATAACGAATTATTTACTTTAAATTTAATTAATAATAAATAAATTATACAAAAAAATAATATAACATACAAAACGAAAATAAATACGTAACATATTAATAAAAATAATAAATACTAAGTTATAAATATAAAATAAGCAATAAGCAGATAATAAGGATAAATGGAATTAATATATCATGTAAATTATAGATATATAATAATAATAGTTGTGTTTCAGGAAATACCAAGAGGAAAACGAATAATAATAATATAATTTAAATAAATAAAGATAAATGAAAGTAAATAATAAAATAAAACATTATTACGTGCATAAAAGAAATAATACGTATAACAATATTCTATGAAATAAAATAAAATAATATTACGTGCATAAAAATATATATATACGTAAAATAATATTCTATAATTTAAATAAAATAATATTACATGCATAAAAAAAAAATAATATATATAAATACGTAAATAATATTCTAAATAAAAATTATATAACAATAACTTTTAACTATTTCAGAAATTAAGAAGAAAAACAAAAATAAAAAATATATAAAAGCACACGTAAAAATTGAAAGTATAAAAATGGGTGAGAACATACCACCTGTAGCACGAACCGTTCGAATGCAACTACAAACATTTGAATTTCTCAGAGAATTAAAAAACGAATTAATTGAATCAACCAATCATACACAAATAACTCAAGGGGAAGTAATCAGATTACATTGCTTCCCAGAACATATAAGAAGGGCAAATAGTAATATGACCATACCTTTCAGGCCGAATTTCTTAGCACGGGTCATGATCCATGTTAACGATTTTGTACGCACAGTTATCTTAAGACCAAATCATAATCGACCAATGTGTGTAGAGTTGGGTTTACTGATAGAACAACTAATCAGACGACGAGAAATCATTGAAACGATTTTCGAAGAATAAATCAGGAAACTATATCATATATCAAAATATCATATATCATGTATCATATATCAAATATCATATACATAGTTATAAATACAAAAAACCAATTTAAGTTGTTTTTAAAGAAAAATAATTATTTTATTTTAGCTCACAGGTACGCTTTTTTATAATGGATTTCGAGTTCTTTACCGTCAGTAAGAACGAAACGATACTGGTATCCGGTGCGATATCGAATAGTTTAGAAAAATACCAACCAAAGAAATTGGAGGGGAGTCCTCTTATACTTACAAAGGATGATAAGTTAAGAAGATTCCGCCGATGCGACCTAAAGAAAACAGTGCAGAATATCAAACGAGTATTCCGAGGGAAAAAGGCAAGAGTGATTGAACCATTGCTGGAACAGTTGTACAACAGTATAAGTCGGCAGGGGGAATCAACCTTGTCTACGGTATACTTGCAAAGATATTTGCATATAAACGATAGGGAGCCACTAATAGTATTTTGGAACGGAACGACAGATATCACGATAATTAAGCGTTTAAGATTAACAGGAATTTTAGCATATTTAAATATATCGGCAATTAGCGTTAGGAATAATGACGAATTTGTATTAGAATTATCAAACCTAGAGACTAAGGAAGTTTTATATTCAGGTTATTTAGGTAAATTAAATAAAAATGGTAGAATGTTAGGACTATCAGAAGCTCATGAACTAGCATGCGATATTAATCATAATATTACACATTGTCACGATCCAGTTGCAGACGTAATTTTAACGAAATGCCTATTCAATTACATAGTAACGAAGATAAAGCCCATTAAATTATATAAATTAGCAAAAAAATATAAAAGGAATTTTAAGGCAAAATAAATAATAATTATTAGTTAATAAATAAATATAACACAAATAAATTAATGAAAACAAATACATAAATTAACAATTATTATATATTTTAGATTCATTGAGGAGCTAAAAACAATTTTAAAAACAGAAGTACATATTTATAACGTTACAGAAAATAAGTTACAATCCGTATGCTTTAATTGGCATATATTAAAGGCAAACAAGAAAATAAATAACCACTACGATCATAAAACTTTAAATAAAATAACTAGAAGCCTTGAACTTTTCATAGACGATCATTGTAATGGAGAATGCAAACAGTTAGTAAAAATAATAGAAAACACTAGAGATCCAACTTACATGATGACTTATCTTGAATAGGACCATAGTTGCATATGTCTGTGACAAATTTAACAATTATTCACATAAATTAGTATATAGGTGGAAGATAAATATTATTATTATATAAAAAGGGGAAATATTTAAATTGTATACTTACGTAACGCTTATAATGTTATAATTTCAGGTACCTATATTATTTTATTAAAGATTATTAATCATTTTTATTAACACTATTTGTTTAATTAAATCATGTATTAATTTATTTTACTAACCACAATTAAAATTGTAATATGAATAAAAGAAAAAAAAAAACAATAATAATAATAATGATGACATTAAAAAATTGTAAAATGCTCACATTATTGTAATCAAATGTAATACTATAATCAAATTGTAAACTGTATACAAAATTTAAATGTCAAAGTAAACAATGTAATTCAGCCATTGTAAACTATTAATTAACGATGTTAAAGATTCTTAACCCTTAAAGGTTAACAATCTTTTTTTTGGTAGGGAGGTGTAATGGGATTACGCAATATTATATATTTGCTCATAATAACAACCAGGAATGCGACCACACCCAAAAGTGTTTTCGACTACGAATACCACTTTCATAGTCGTGAGGTCCATATCAAGGACGACTGTACACGCGCCGCTCACTTTCAAAGGACGCCGCCACCATATATATAGGGGACAGCGAGACAGCCTGAGTTAGATGTATCCAGAGACGAGAACACCACACGACTCGCTTAGCCGCCCAGCCATCACACACGACTTACACGGAGATTATCAACTTCGGAACGAGCTACAAATTCACTACAATCAACACTATTATTCTGCTTGTTTTGTCTGGTTTAATATAATACATTTGATTACCATTCTAATAGACTATTATTATTTATCAAGTACACCAGCTTTTGGATCCCTGAAGGGCCGCATGTAACACGATGTAGATCAAATATCTATAGCAGCCGTAATTGATAGTGATTCAAAATGGCGAAAAACGTTTACAACTTTATTATTTAATATTTTAATCTTAATTTGTGAATCATCATCGTAATTCTGATTTTGAAAGTTGTAACATATAGATCAATACTATAGTGCGTTTCATAACAACTGCAGCTCGACGCTAACGCGCCTCGTGGTGTTTTTTCATTAGGGTTTCTAAAACTAGCTCGTTGTAATCATAGTCTTAAAGAAATAGATGGAGCATTAGGCCCGAGGACTGGGAGGCATAGTCGTGCCAAATGGATTAAGAGAGACTGCATGGGTTTTATCATAAGAGTGAGATAATTAACCTCTGCTCCGAGGACAGCCAATTAGAGAGTTGGTTTAATTTAATTTTTTTCTAAATGATAAGACAATGATAAGACCCCGATCCCGGAACAAGCTCCACCCACTTGCACACGTTATCATAAATAATGTTCAGTCTATTTCTCTAATAGCGTTTTCCACCTAACTGCACTAGCTGCACTAGTGCACTTTTTTATGTTTCATCAGCTATTCCAGTGCGCACTAAATTACTAATTTTATGTTCCACGTTACTGCACTATGCGAGTTTTTTGCACTCAGTGCAGTGATAGTTGCACGAGCTCCTGGAGCTCGTGCGCCTTATCATTATCACGAAAAGTATTGATATGGCGGTAATCGGAAAAAAAATCGACTCGGACACTGTCTTAAGAAAACAAGGAGAAGCTAAACGCGAGGCACTAAAAAATAGCTTACAATATTTTCAGTGCTACACTTCTGATGAATGATTTAACACATTTTTAGTAATACATTATAATATCTAATAAACCATTTTCAGTTTTTTTTTTTTAAAACAAACTATGTTTAAATTGTCTTATAAAGTTTTGAACAAATGCATACAAATTAAATGTATGTGCAAACATAAAAAATAACATACATATAAGGTACATAAATAACTTCTTGTAAAAATTACTAAATAAACTAATTAAACACTAATAAAGCTTTTCTCAGTCTTTAACAAAATTTACAAAATATAATACGGTTTTTGAATATTTCACTCTTTATACACATAAAATAATAATCAATGGTATAAACATGGGTCACATATTATTTATCTCCTAAAAGACTTTTTAGGAGATTCATTTTTTCATTGTGGCGCCTTTCTTTTGCAATCTCCTTTTCCTTAAGAAAATTTAATATCATGGTTTCGTTGTTGTCTGTTCTCTTTTTTTTTTTGTTTTGGCTCTAAACAATCTTTTTTGTTAATGACAACTGTTTTAGCGCTGCGTAATACTTCTGGCAATATGCTATCATCATTGTTAGTTATTTCTTTCCATTCTTCTTCGTACTCATCATTCATCCGTGATGCACCTGTGCTTCTGTTATTGTCAATTATGGACTTTTTTCTTTTACAAATTGTCTTATAACGGTTTTCAACTTGAATATAAGAGAAATCTACATTTAATTCCTCTTGAATATCAGAAGCCAATTGTATCCACATAGATTTTTTGTTCTTAAATTTTTTCATGGGTCCAACATAACTCATATATTTTGAATATTTTTCCAACATAAATTTAGTGATTCCTTCGCTCCATACACCATTGCCTTCTTTTATTTCTTTTCCTTAAAAATAATTTGGTGTTCTATTAAATGTTCAAAATTGATTTTAATACAAATTATACTGCACTCCCTGTTAAAAATATTGGGTACTCAGGGTACTCTTACCATTGGCTGAATTAGAAGGATTTGTTTCCGTCATATCTGTGTGATTTAGTACTTGCAAAATACTTTGGCTGCCAGACGAGTTTAAATTATTGTAATCTATAGTGTCCTGTGGTTTAGTATTTCTATAATTATAAAAATGTAAAAAGTATCAATAATGTAGACAATATCATAACTCATAAGGATATATTATAAAAGGTCACCTATCCTCATTTTATTATCACACCATCTCAACTTATTTCAAGAGCCTAGGGGGGGAGCAAAATATATTTATTTTCAATTTTTGTTTCACTATCTGATTAGTAATAAAGAATTGTTTGTGACATGTTTTCTTATATTATATAAGTAGGAAATGTAAAAATGATTTATGAATTACATGTAGATAGTTAAAACTCAGTCTTGGGTAAATTACTTTTTAAAACTATTTGGAATAAATACTCGAACATTCTTGCAAATTAGTATTCAGAATATATATTCAAATATTTGGTAAAAATAGTATCCTGATTATAGTAGATATTTGGAATACTTTCAAATTCATTCAAAATACAGTATTCTAAATACTTTATTCGGAATATTGCCCAAGACTGTAAAAACTGTTAATAATAATCTCACAGCTTTAAATTGAATTAATTAATATACAATTTTAAATTAGTAAATGGCCTATTCTTTCTTATTTTGTCTACAATTGGTGCCATTTCAATACTATCTCTCTTAATTTTAATTTCTATTCTATCTTCTCTAGGTGCAATTGTTTAGGTGGGGAAGGGGTTACATTTATAGAAGATGCACCGACCTGCTATTTGTCAAATCGTTGTCGAATGTCTTAGAAATATACATTTCCAGGATATTTACATTGTCATTTGAATCATTCCAATCAATAGGCATTGCTGGTTGAACAATGAACTCAGTATTTCTAAAATTGACAATAAAACATACCCATTGAATACTTTAGTTGTAGGCTAATACAGTGGTTATTGTACAAAGGAGAATATAATAACTTAAAATTTTTGATTTACCTTTCAGGAATTGTAACTTTTATCCTAGAATTTTTAATAGTATCCATGTTAAGATTTACAGATCCATCATCTAAACAGTTTTTTAAAAAGTCTAGCACTGTTTCCAAACAATCTTTTGGACCTATATACCATGAAATGTAAAATTAAATTAAATTAAATTCTTTAAAGAATTTGAATTTGAATTAATATTAAATTAATAGTTGTTACTATAAATAAAAATATTTACTATTTGATAAATAAATTGTGAATGGTCCATGACAGGGGTGGACCCAGGGGGGGGGGGGGTTGGGAGGTCAGCTGACCCACGGTTTTTTTCCCTGTTTTTTTTATTTTTTTTTTCTCTCACGATTTATAGTGTTTTATAACAGTGACTAGGTGGTGTTGAATTGGAGATTTAGGAGTGCTAAAGTACCCCCCTAGTTGGGCTTATGCCGGACTCATACTTTATAAATATAAAATACTTACCAGTTTGCTGAAAATAATTTATGGCTGATTCATCAACCACAAAAAAAAAAACGGTTTACTACCGATTGTTATTTGTAAATTATATTCAGACATAATAATTAATAATAACAATTTGTAATAAATTTAATGAAATTGTGATGAAAATTGTTTTAATTTGTAATGAATTATTATTTGTATTATCTGTAATCTGTATAATAATAATAATAGCTATTGATATAAATTCTATTTTAAGAGAAATTAAATGATAAACAAATTGTATGTTTCATCTGCACTTGCACCAACATGCACTAGAACGATTATCAGTGAACTGTACCAGTGCCACTTTGGTGCGACAGTGCGGTCAGGTGGAAAACGCTATAAGTCTATGGTTATAATTCTCGGCTAATTTAAAATTGATAACGAATATTTTACACATTTTTTCGATCCTAGTTTGAAAACCCCTGGTTTGAGACAACCGCCGCGAAGCGCGTTAGTGCCGAGTCGCAGTTGCTATGAAACGCACTATAGCTGATCCCGTGTACTTCGTTGCTCCAAAAAGTGCCTATTCTATATGATTCATACTTTGTTCAATTTATTATTTAATATTTGGTGTATGGTGTCCAAAACTTTTAAACCAAATTTTTCATCGATCATCTTCAATCTCAAAATACTTGTGTAAGCACCACTTTAAATGCTTTCTTGTTGTCCACTACATATGGTGGTATGAAAATACCGTGAACATTTTATGCCTAAAGCTATCATTATTTGGGCTCTACGTTGATCATCATTCATCAATGAGTCAGTCAGGACACGTCAGTGTTGGGAAAATTCCTTTTAAAAAGGAACTCGTTCCCTGTTTCTGTTGCAAAAATAGGACGCGATATCGTTCCTTTACATTTTTTTTACGATCTGAGTGGTTTTCAGTGGTGGTTTTTTGTCGACGACTTATAAACCAGGAATAATCGGCTAATAAAATTTTTATATTCAATACTTTTTTTTATAGGTAATTAATTTAACCAAGATTTAACATTGAAGGTATTAGCTTTTGAAGTTTGCTCATTTACAATAGTCAATAAAACTAAGAAAACTAAGAACACTTAGCGGAAAAACATACGTTTTAAAGGAGTACCGATTTTTAACAAAATAGATTTGGTTTATTTGTTATTATTTAAAAACTGTATACATATAGACTTGAAATTGTCATCAAATAATAATTATGGTAAAATTTTCTCCGATAACTGAAGTTCTATTATTTTGACTAGAAACTCAATTCTTCTGACATATTTGTTCTGATTTTTGAACTTCAAACTATGCTGAAACATGCGGTCGAGCACTTTCATTAACATTTCAATTAACAGTGTCATCATGAATTATCAAGTATGATTTAGTATTGTTTGTTTTCATTTTAAACCATTATCACATTTACATCGTTTATTACAGTTATACAACAGACAGAAGCAATTACAAACGAATACCACCAACTAAGTACTGATGTCCATCACACCAAGCACATATATGTACACTTCCACAGCTAGAAACAGTCTTTCTAAAGAGGGTTTTATCGACTCCGCCGTTTTAATATCAATTATGCCGGATTTTTATTGATGTTGATTCCACCGGTTATTTATTTATGTTGATTCCGCAGACTGTTTATTAAACATTAACATATTATGTATCATATTTAACAGAATTTTTTTTGAATTAATAGTTTAGGTTATAGGGTACACTAACTTTGGCATGATAGTATAAACTATAAAGAAAGTTTTATTTAAAAAAAAATATTTCAAAAAACAATTCAAACATTTTCGTCCATGACGGATAATAAAATAATATAAATAAAATATCTAGTGATTATTATTTTTACAAAATGAAGTAAAATCGTCATATTTTTAAATAGAGTTATATAATATAATATTCAAAATAATTAAAATATATTGGTATTGTATATGCCGTATGGTATTTAAAAAAAAAAATTAAAGTAATAAAAATATACAATGTGGTCAATTTTTGAAATAGTAGTTTTAATAGCTAGTTTTATATAAGAGAATCTATTGATTTTTGAATTGAAATAATCGTAAAAATCGTTCAAAGTATTATGGTATAGTAAAAAAAAAAATAAACAATTTACAATTTATTCAGCGGATTGATATTCGGTGGCCGGCGGAATCAGTATGTATAAAAAGTTCGGCGAAGTCGATACGCGGCGCCATCGATAGATTTTTTACAGGTAAAAAGGTAATTTCGGCGCAATCGATACGCCCTATTAATTTGGAATTCATTATAGGTCAATTTTTTTTAATACCATAGATAAGTATATAATATGTCTTATACCTAGACTGACATACCGTCTCCGCTCAGAATCGTTTTTCTTATAGGTACAATGATATTATATCATTGAATTCAAATTTAATACCATCCATTATACAGTGACCCACTTGTAACCTACTATACAGCAGAGGGACATCCACTTGCCCACCTTTTTATCTTCGTAACTAGAATAGTCCACCAATCAAGGCACTAAAGCACCCAGCGATATCCTTTGGAGATTTTAACAGCCATATCATAGCATGATGACAATTAACGAGTTAATAAGTTTAAAGTTAAGTTATATTTAATTTATGAAGAGGATGTCAGCGCACTATTTGTTTTCTCTCACTGACCCATGCGCAACATAGACAAAACGCATTTACGCAGAAAAGTTTTTTCAATGTTTTTAAGTAATCTTAGAGTAAAATCACCCTTTATAAAAAAGATAGAGAACAATATTTTTTTAGAAATGACATATCGATTTGTCTAAATATTATTTAAAAACAATTTAAACATATTTTAAATTTACATGATTTTTTGTTTATTTTGAAAGTCAAACAACAATAAAATATACAATCGGTAAGTCATCCCCACTGAAATATTATTCACTATCTTTTTTGTGATGGGTGATTTCACTCTAATGCTAGCTCCACACTCTCGCCGAGGCGAAGCGAGGCGGCGCGAGCACGAGAGTGTAGTCGGTTCACTCGTGTCGTCTCGTCTCGTCTCGTCTCGCCTCGCCTCGTGCGCGCTCCACTCCGAGTCGGTATTTTGGTCGCGAGTCAAAAGACCACGAGACACGAGACGAGGCGTACCTACTTCACTCTCGCCAGAGCTCGCGTGTCCTCAGTTAAAAAACCAAAATAAATCAAAACGTTTTGTGCAAAAATGGCTGATTGGACGAACGAAATTTCGATTAAATTTGTGGAGTTATACCAAACAGAAGAGATTTTATGGAATGCAAAGCATCGTAATCACAAAGATAAGGCAAAAATGAATGACGCATGGTGTAGAATTAGCAAGATTTTGAATATACCCATAGAAGATTTGATAAATAAAAAAAATTCAATTATGGCTACATTTCGGGGCCATTTGAGAAAGAAAAAAGCGTCCATTAAATCAGGAGCCGGCCAGAACGATATTTATCGACCAATATGGTTTTTATATGATCAAATGGAAAGTTTTCTTGGAAAACTAAACGATTGCAACGTGACATTAAATACTGAAGAGGTAAATATAATTACTTCATAATTACTAGTTTATGTTTATTTATTGAAAGGTATTAATTATTATTATAAAAGTATGACGTAAATTGTTCTCTTATTTGTATTGCATTTTCTGGTGATCTGCGTGGTACTTGATCAATAGGCCTAATAGCACAATTTTCGTCGATTTCTCTTCTCCATGAACCCGGTTGAATTATCACTCCAGTATTATCACAAATGTCTATTGTACCGGGAGGAGTATAAATTGATGCAGCCGTTTCATTTCTCCTCAAAAAATTATGCAATAGCACACATGTCATTGTTATGATGGAAACTTTTTCTAACTCTATTGAAATTGGTTTTTTGAAAATTCGGAATTTAGCAGCCATTATTCCAAATACATTTTCAATCACAACACGGGAGCTTGATAATTTTTGATTAAAAATGCGTTTTGGAGAGCCAATCTCATGGTTTCCGGGAAATGGTTTCATCAAGTTTGCATGAAGAGCAAATGCTCCATCTCCTAGGAAAACATATGGTAAATCAACATTTGAGCCATGAAGGGGAGAAGGAGCAGGAATGTTAAGGCTGTTTGAGCAAATTTTTTTCCACAGCAAAGAATTTTTAAACACGCCACCGTCGCTAATTCTACCTTGACTCCCTATATCAGCAAATAGAAAACGATAGTCACTACTAACTAATCCCATTAACACAATACTAAACGAGTTTTTATAATTGTAGTATTCTGAACCAGTGTTAACTGGGCATTGCAAAACTATGTGTTTTCCATCAATTGCTCCGATACAATGTGGAAACTTTTCTCCAAACCCTTTTTCTATTTCTAACCAATCACTTGAAGTTGATGGTAGCTGAAATATAAATTAAAATAAATAATTAATATTTATAGGCATATTGTATTGTATAATGTAATTACTAGACAACGGATTTAAATGCTCTTTTTTAATATTTTAGGGAAACATTTCGCAAATAACTGACCAGGAAACATTAGAAAATAATAACGATAATGAGGACGGCAATGAATTTAATTCTCCTAACAGTATAACTAGTCAACCAACACAAGAAAATATCCTGATACAGCGACCAACATCTCGCCGGCGAGGAAATCCTGAAGTTGAAGAGGCTGGGAGACAAATGAAGAGGGCGTTTAATACTTTAGAAAGTGTTTTAAATAAAAAACACGAAGAGGATGAGTATGATTTATATGGAAGGATACTTGCAAGCAAATTACGTAAGTTACCGGAAAACGAACGAGAACTTTTTATGTACGATATTGATGGAATGTTTGTACAACGCTATCATCGGCTTAATAATCCCTTGTTATCTTCACTACAGCCTACATTTTCTCGAGCATTCTCTACAGGAATGAATACTGCAAATGAATCATCATCTACTGTAACTTCTTATTCTGATTCGCCGTGTCAACCACTTTCAATACTTATTCCAGAACAACCTTTAACGACATATTCTACTTATTAAAATTCAAATACACTAAGTAATACTTCAAACCAATCGACAGGCTCTAACTCTCATATTCAAAATATAGTGGATACAGCTTATTACACTGCTGTTGGTAATTATAAAGAAAGTAACAACCAGTGATGATAGTGTAGTATTAATATTTAGCTTATATAATTATGTTCCTAGTTATTCTAGCACAAAGTAACTAATTTATTTTAATTTCTAATATTTGTTTAAAAATGTTTTCATATAAATATTTAAAAAGTTAATATTTATGTTTTTATTGTTAAATTTTTATTTTATTTTACGAACAGGTTGTTCAAATAAAAAAAATTTTATTTTATTTTGCATCATTTAAAATAATAAATATTTTTAATAATTTTACTATGAAAAGTGTTATTTATTAAATAAATAATTATAATATTTTTACCTTCACTTCATTTTTAAGAACTTGGTTGATTGCTGCACATACTTCTGGTACAATCTTTGATATTATTTGGCTAGATACTTTAAACAAAAAGTGAAGGCTTTTATAACTATCACCTGTAGCTAAAAATCGTAGCGTAATTGCTAGTCTTATCTTAGCTGGGATTGAATCTCTCAGTTGAGTATCTTGTTTTGAAATAATAGGTGAAATTAAAGTGAGTAAATATTCAAAATCTGATAATGACATTCTAGTAAAATTTTCAAACTCGCCTGAAGGTTCATATAACAATTCTACAAATACATTTTCCATGCTTTGCCTGAAAGAAAAATGTTATGAGAAAATACAGAGTAGTACAAATTATAATTATTCTCCCTTTCATTTTTCTTATTACGCCATTAAGGCCAATACTTAATATCAAACTAACTTACTTTGTTCTGTTTCTGTGTATTGTTGTTGTCCACCATCTCCTCTTATTGGGTTGTTTAATTTTTTTTGAGTGGCTTAAATTTAGAAAATTATGATAACTGTATGCACACAATGCAGCCGCAGCTGTTATTTCAACCACGTCCATTTTGTACAACCGCTAAAAACAACTGAGTGAGTCACGAGACTACACGAGAGTGTAAACTATGCATTCGTGTGCTGCCTCGCCTCGCGTTAACTCGACTAGACTCTCGACGAGGCGACCTCGCGAGAGTGTGGAGCTAGCATAAGATTACTAAAAAACATAGAAAAAATGATTCTGCGTAAATGCGTTTTGTCTATGTTGCGCGTGGGCCAGAGAGAGAAAACAAAAAGTGCGCTAACATCCTCTTAACATTCTTATACTAGTTCGCTCTTTTAATTAACTTAAGTTTAAATTAACTCATTTGCATATATTTTAACTTAAAATCAACTTATATTATTTTTAATATTCACAATTAAGTTTTGAATTTTCATATTATCCAAATATTATTCATATAAGTTATAGGTTTGTAAAATATGGAAAATATTATTAGAAAAAAAATGATATATTTACGAAGAATTTCGTACATATTTTTATAAATAAAAACGATTCATAATACATACTTAATACTAATTAAGTAGGTACTGGATGTTAGTGATTAATATCTAGACTATTATTCAATGAAAAGTATATGATGTCAGGATAAGATAAATAAACTAATTCAACTTTATAGTTATGCACTAGGTAATCTTTAATGAAACAACTTAAATAAACGACAAACGTAAACAGAATTAACATTGGCCGCACACAGCAGACCTGAGGAATAGGCCGCATCAGACAGACTAACTCACTAGGACAACTATGACCTCCCTACAGTGGCATCAGGTCCCAGTGTTGCCAACATTCGGCCTTCCTGATGTAAGGGCCGCCCTCGGGCCTTAAGTTACAATACAATTCTAACTACATTAATGTTTAAAATTATATAAAACAATTCTGACAAAGCTAGCATTTAAAATATATACAAAATAATTTTAACAATGCTAATATTTAAAATTTACACAAAAAAAAGAATAATTAATAAAAATAGTAGCCGTTAGTTAGACTACAAAACTGTCTAGTGTTAACTTAGTAGTGTTAACATTTTACTTAGCCACATCTCTCAAGTACCCCGGTGCCTTTCTCTCCTGCTGGCCCCTAACCACAACTGGATTCTCTGTTACTGGTGTTATTGGTTCTGGTATCTTACTTTCTTCTTGGTCATTCATGGTTGGTCTCTCCCCTGCTTCACCATCACCAGTAGGAGTCCCCTCGAAGCTGTCTAGAACGCTGAGTTCATCTGTCTCATCTTCTTGATCAAGGATCTTCCAGGATTTGAGTTGTGAAATATGCGCCGTGGTAGCATATGAGGTTTGGCCTTCAGGAGTTACCTCGGCCACTCAATACGTATCTCCTGGTAACTTTTGTATGACTTGTAATGGCTTTTCTCTGTATTTTGCTTGCAGTTTGGTAGGCTGTCCTGTGGTTGGTGCCTTCAGCATCACTACCATTTCGCCCGAGTCCAGGCTAACACCTGGAATGTGTTTGCTGTTAAATACTTGAACCATTGCTTTTCGTCCCTCCCGTATATTGTCGCTTGCTTCGCTTTGCACCTCCGTTGGTTTCCTCCAGTCATTCTTGTTCTGGGATAATGAGCCTAGTATCCCTTGGTGGAAACGTGGTTGATATCCGTGTAAGGCTGCAAATGGCGTCTTCTTTGTGGTTTTATTCTCTGCTGCGTTCAACCTCGTTTACCTTAGCGTCCCAACGCCGTTGGTCTTCTGTGGACATACTGAGCAGCGTAACTATGGTTCGGTTCGCACGTTCCACTTGCCCGTTTGCTTGTGGGTGCCTGGTGGAATTGAGTATATGTTCTATGTTGTGTATTGCACAGAACTGCTCAAATGGTCGTGAGGTAAAACAGGACCCCCGATCTGAAATAATCCGGTCTGGTTTCAATAAATTTGGTCATGATCCGCACTAGTGACTTAGTATCAGTAGTCTTACATGGATACAAGTGTACATACTTAGTGAGACTATCAACTATTACAAGTAGATACCGATTTTGTTGTGTAGATGTCTCAAAGGGGCCGAGATGATCCACATTGATGACCTGGAAAGGTCTCTTTCCGGGCGGTATTGGGTGTAGCATGCCCTGCTGTTTTCCGGAAGGTTTCTTATGCGTCAAATATTCCAAACACATTCTGATGTGTTGACGTACATAACGGCGCAATTGGGAGAACCAAAAGTCCTTACTGATTTTTGCCACCGTCCGATCCTTTGCAAAATGCCCTCCGTAGTCATGTGCAGCTTTGACGATTCCTTTGCGCATTGGCTTTGGAATCACTAGTAGTAGTAGTCCATCATACCTGCGGTGGAGCATACCATTAGGCATTAATTACTTCATAATGTTTTAAGTCACCTGATACCTGTTTTGTTTTTGGTCCTATTTGCTCAAGCTGATGTATTTGTTCTCTGGTCACCGGGTCGCCTTGCTGCATGAACCTGACTCTGTTATGAACCGACATGGCGACGAAAACACATGCTCGTTGAGCGAGTTCAATATCAACTGATTCCGTCACTGTATCGTCGTCGGCGACCGCACGACTAAGTGCATCTACGTGTGCCATTTTTGATCCTGGACGGTACTTTATATCAAAGTCATATTCTTGTAGAACTTCATACCATCGTGCTATTTGTGGTTTTGTTGACTTGTGGAGGTTCAAATATGTCAAAGCTTGGCAGTCTGTCACCACAGAAAAACGTGTACCTATCAGGTACGGGCGTAACCGACTTATCGTCCAGATGATTGCGTACAATTCTAAGCGAGACGAGTGGTACCGTGACTCAGCCCCAGTCGTCTTATTGCTGACAGCATACACCATGTGTAGATCAGCGGTCTTGGTTCCTTGTAGCAGTATTCCCGAAAGTGCTTTACTGCTAGCATCCGTATGTACCTCTGTGATCGCCGCAGACGGGTCATACATACGTACTACTGGTTCTGAACTCAGTACTTCCTTCAGATTTTCAAAGTTACCTGACTTGGCCCCCACTGGTACGGCACATCCTTACCCGTCAGTCGCGTCAACGGTTCCGCCATTGTAGCATAGTTCACAATAAATCTTCTGAAGTAACCAGACAGACCAAGGAAGCGTCGTATTTCATGTGCATCATTGGGTACAGGGAAATTCACAATCGCTTCTACTTTACGACCAAGCTTTACCACGCCTTTTGAGATCCGGTATCCCAAGTAGTCCAACTGCTCTGCACCAAAATTACATTTGGCCGGTTTCAAGGTGAGCCGCGCGTTCACTAGTGCCTCAAATACTTTCGGTAGGTCAAGCATCATATCCTCCCAGCTAGCTGAGGGTATGATAATATCATCCAAATAGGTATTTATTACACCTGACTCCTTCAGGTTCTTGAATACCATGTTCATTAGCTTTTGAAAGGTACCCGGTGCGCCCTTGAGCCCGAAAGGCATCCGTTCGAACCGGGCGGTGACACTTTCCGTAACAAATGCAGTCTTGTCTTTAGCTTGTTCGGTCAACGGAATTTGCAAAAAGCCATTAGACAGGTCTAGTGTTGTGAAAATAGTACCACCTACTAGAGCAGCGGTTCTTAACCTTTGTGTAGTGGCGACCCAAGATATTTACCAAATTTTTCATGCGACCTTTTTATAAAATAATGTTCAATGGCAGAATAAAAAATAACTATTGGGTACTCTTAATTTAATATTTTTTTTTACTCATATTACTTGTACTAATAACAGGTCATAATATTAATTAAATTATATTTAAAAATAAACATTTCTTTTAATAATTGTATTGTACATATTTTTTTAAATAATTTTTTAAATAATGAAGAACTTAATGACTCCCTTGGTCTTGATGTTGCTTCACCAATGAATCAATTTGAGCTTCTATGGAGTTAGTAAATGAAATACGCATCGTGGGTTCGACATCAAGCTTATTTCTTGCTTTGGTTTTGATCGTAGTTAATGTCGAAAATCCGGATTCACATAAATATGTTGTTGCAAAAGGATCTAATTTCTTTAATGCTTCTTCGTAAAGATTAGGATACTCATTTCTTAAAGATATCCAAAATTGGTTTACATTTTTAGTGTTAAAAGATTGTTCTAATAATTTATCTGACGATAATTCTAATAGTTGGCTTTCATTTAATAAAGATAATTCATGATTTTCACAGGGCAAAAACGGGTTAAGAATCCACATATTGTTTGATCGAATATCATGAGATGGTGGAAAATACTTTAATAATTTATTTTTTAATTTCGACAAATGTGTTTTAATTACACATTGCATTACATTAATTTCATTTTTTTTTTAATAATTTTTCTTCAGTCATATTATAATATGATGGAAACATATCATATGTATTTTCCTGAATTCGTTTTATCCAAAGATCAAGTTTCTTTAGAAAAGCTTCAACTTTATTATAACATGTAAAAATATTAGTTAATGGCCCTTGCATACTCAAATTTAACTCATTTAATAACGAAAATATATCTGAAAGATACGTAACTTTTGCCAACCAAATTGTATCTTGAAAATGGTCGGATAACGGTGAATTTTTTTCTCTTAAAAATACTTCTATTTCAGTCCTTAATTCAATAAATCTCGTTAAAACTTTTCCCCGTGATAACCAACGTATATGAGAATGAAATAATACATTATTATAAACTGAACCAAATTCTTTACACATGACAGAAAAAATACGAGAATTAATAGCGACGTAATATACGACGTTCACAACATTGATAGTTGATTCTAAGAAAAATGCTGGTCAAAAACTTATCAAATACTATAACCTATAGCTATAAATATACTTTATCGATTGCCATTAACGGAAACGAATGTAATTTGATAAGCTTCTTTGTACCAATTATCAATACTGTGAATTTACGAAAACGGTTTCATTTATTATTTATATTATAAGGCTTAAAAATAAAAATATTATACCAACGTTTTAAATTTTAGCCGATCCATTTCAAATTATTGGCGACCCAAAATTGGGTGGCGACCCTATGGTTAAGAACCTCTGTGCTAGAGCTCCAAGTTGCTCCTTCACGTCCGGCATCGGGTAGGGGGGTACGACAGTTTGCGAATTGAGTCTGCGGTAATCGACACATAGTCGCTTATCACCGGAAGACTTGTTTACTAATAGGACGGGGCTTGCATACGGCGAGTCCGAGTCACTTATAATACCGGCCTTCTTCCACTCGTCCAAGATTGTGGAAATGGTCTGTTGATCTGAGGGTGAGGTTCGGTATGGACGAACATTCACTGGCTCCGAACCGGTAGTAGTAACTATGTCCATCTTCAGCATGTCCGTACAGCCCAGTTCGTAAATGTTTTTCGCAAAAGCATCACGGTAACGATTTAGTAGAGCCAACAGCTCTTCTCGGTTGGAATCGGGCCACTGTGGCTTGATTTTCACATCTTCGGCCTTTATCGGTTGTCTCTGGTCCGATATTTTCTGGTCAACTACTAACGCGACTTTTACGGGTTGTTCGCTTACTACAAAATTCGAAACTTCTTCACTGGACTCGAAGACTAGCTCTTCGCCTTTTTTGTAATAATTGACATGTTGACATGTGTGTATGTAGTGTTAGCCATGTTCTACCTACCAAAACATCTACGGGTATAACGTTGTCCGGCACGACAATTACTTCGTGGTCGTATCCCGTGACACCGTCTACGGTCACGTCCAATACGGTTTCACCGATCGCAGTGACGCCTGGTTGCGTGACGTCGCCCACGGTATATAACGCCGTCCTTTTCGGGTGTATCTCGGCATGGCAGCGTTCCGTACTCAGTTGCGTACTAACACGTTCGAGCAGCCCGTGTCTATGAGCCCCATGACAGAGAGCTGGTTGAGCACCATCTTCCTCGCGAAAGGATTCACATATACTTGCGGACTCAAGATTTCGGCACGATACGCCTCACGATTATCGCCCGCCGTTGAGGACGCATTGATAACTTCTTCTGGGCATTTGCTCCGAGTATGTCGTTCTGACCCACAATTTGAACACTTCATTGCTCTACGGGGTTTTGGACAATCCCTTGCAATGTGCTCCGACATCCGGCAGTTGTAACAGGAGATTGCCGAACGATTAGTCGTAGGTCCTGACTGTGGCTTAGGTTGATCTACTGTCGTGTTATTGATCGGCGCGACCGACGCTGGTACAGGTATAGACTTGTTCATTCGGGGCTTGTACGACGGCGAGTCGTAAGAACTTCTGGCCGGAAAACGTTTCCGGCGAAGCATGCGCATCCTTTCCCAATCGCGGAGATCCGAAAGTAAATTACTTTCTGAGCTATGCATACGCGCCATAGCGTACGCTGCCAGCTCACGGGAACGCAAGCCCTGAATTACGTGGTCGCAAATTCGGGGAACGGTAGTTTTAAAACGCGACACAATCTAACCTTTTCATAAAAGTAGTCTACCAGGTGTTCATCAGCTGCCTGGTTCCTCTGATTAAGTTCACTCCATCTGTCCGACAGACGAATTTCTTGTACGAAAGCTTCGCGAAATTTCGACTCAAGTTCGTACCAACTTGCAAATCCTTCAGATAAAAACCAATTTCTAGCGGCACCGGTAACGTGCGCTCTAACATAGTGTAAGCGCTGTTTGAAATTCCAGCCATTCAGATCGGCGACACCTGACACAGAAGAGATCCAATCGTCTGGAACGTAATTGGTCTCACGACCATCGAACAGCGGAATATTACGATCGACGTCCGGCGGCACACGGTAGTCGGACTATACATAGGCCGGTAACTGCTGTATAGGTTCGTTCGATGGGGTCGTACGTATAGACTCTTCAAGCAAACGTAGTTTTTCCCGGAGTTCGTTAGTCTCACTCACCAGAGAATTATAAGTCGGCGCTTTCAAGTGGTTAGGGTCAGTTACGTTAGACTGTTCGTTTGTCTCATTGTTGTTGACCATCGTAACATTCGTAACTGACGACAATATAAACAAAAACAACTTTGATAGGTATAATACTATACAAGTAATTATAACTTTTTTAATGCATTTTTTTAAAAAAAATTGATTAACTGGACTTATTAATTGATGTTAAGTTAAGTTAACAGTATGTGTTAGCTTAATTTAAACTTAAGAGGACGCCACACATAGAGCGAAACATGTACAACGGCCGAGAGAACGCGCTGTTAAGTGTTTTGGAGATCCGCAAGCGGGCTGCGTTTAAGTCACACCCACTACTCGCAGTCGGCCGCTGGCCGACGAGCGCTCGTTCGGGAGCGACGTTCTATTATTCTATGATAGGTAGTTCGTCCTAGACGTTTCGCGTCAATATTATAATATTCATACACGTAAATGCGGCCGTAATATCTTCAATACCCGTGTGTATCTATGAACTAACAATTATAATGTAAGCCACTGCTTACCTAAATATAATATGTACCAATATATAAATCGTAGAAACTGTATTATAACATAGCTTGATTTGTATTTATTGAGTTATTACTTATTTAAATATTATAATTAAATAAAAAACTACAGTATTGCCTATTGGTAACCATTTGTCAACAGTTTTGAAATAGAAATATATTACTTATTTTTCAATTCAATTAAATTTGATGATTTTTAAGACGTTCAATTTATTTAGCATTTATTAAATATATTGATTATTTATATTAGGTATAAATATTAATATAATATTATTTATTTATATAGAATAATATTTTCCTATTATAATTCCAATTATATTTATGTTATTTTGTTTCAACAAATGTTGTGCCTATAACTTGATACCTATATTATACTCTGTAGGTACTTAGGTATACTATCTTTGGGCTATCTGTCGTGTCAAGGAATTGGCTACCAACAGCCAAGTCTGTCCAAGGTGTCATGCTACCGGGCACGCCACTGCAGATTGCACCGGCCAGGAAAAGAGAAAGTGCTTCAGATGCAGACAAGTCGGGCACCTCATAGCTTCCTGCCAAGTACCCCCCACCAATGGCAACCTCGAAGATGCAAAGAAGCAGGCAATCGTTGCTCAGGCAACTAGTCCCTCCACGTCCAAATGATCAAGGTTATCCAAATTAACCTTAACCACTGCTGGACTGCACAGCAACTCCTATCCCAAACAGTCAGGGACCGGAACATTGACGTTCTGCTCATCAGCGACTATCTCCGGGGCTTCGACGGCGATCCACGCTGGATCAATAGTGCTGACCACAAGTGCGGAGTGCTCGTCACCAGCCGTCGCGCACTGCCCATCACAGACATAGGAGCCGGTCCCGGCTTCGCCTGGGCTAGGATTGGCAGCACCTATTACTTCAGCTGCTACTGGACGCCGAACTGCACGCTGCTGGAATTCGATAACTTCCTAAACGGAGTCGAAGGGGCCATTCGGGATTCAGTAGACAACGACGACAACCTCATCGTTGCTGGTGACTTCAACTCTCACTCGGCGGAATGGGGCTCAGCCAGGGACGGCCCCAGGGGCACGATGCTGTCTGGCCTAGCTGCATCTCTGGGTCTGCTGCCATGCAACGTGGGCTCCGTGCCAACCTACAGCCGTGTCAACGCGGAGTCAGTCATCGACGTGACGTTTGCTCGCTTTCAACCGAATGCAAGCCCCCCAGTAGCGAATTGGTCCGTCCTCACGGAGCTCGACTCGGCAAGCGACCACTTCTACGTGGAGTTTACCGTGGCCAACTCATCCGCGATTCCAACTTCGGCGCCGGTCGTCCGCACCGCGGCAGCCAAAGCCTGGGCGATCAAGAAACTCTTCCCTGAAGCCCTCGAGGAACACTGGAGACGAGCCAGGGAGGCCTCACTCCCACTACCACCATCCACGTCCGCGGAGGATCACGTGGCACACCTACAACAGTTCCTGGTCGACTCCTGCGACGCCGCGATGCCACGCAGAACCTCATTCCAGGGAAAAAGAGCGGTGCACTGGTGATGCAAGGAAATTGCAGACTTGCGGAAAACCTCCATCGCCGCCCGCAGACAGTACCAGCGCGCGGGACGCCGGGCAGACACCTCAGACCGCGAAGCGTCCTTTATAACGTACAACAAAGCCAGAAAACAGCTGAGACTCGCTATCAGGAAAGCGCAGGAAGCAAGTTGGAAGGAGCTCTGCGACAGGGTAAAAAGTGACTCGTGGGGCGTACCTTACAGGCTGGTGATGAAGAGGCTCGGAAGCCGTCTCCCAACCATGGACAATACGGCCGCACTCACAATCGCGCGCGGCCTATTCCCAGCGTCACCGCCGATCGATTGGACGGAGATCCCGATCACAACAGGCGAATCTACAGAGCTCGTTCCACTTGAAGAAGAGGAGCCGTCATTCACAAGGGATGAGCTGAAGCTAGCGTCTGGGAGACTTCCATCGGGGAAGGCACCTGGACCCGACCTGGTCCCGAACGAGGTGATCAAGATGGCAGCATTCAGGCATCCGGAGATCTTCCTCACCGCGTACAACGCCTGCATTCAGTCGGGACACTTCCCAGCTCGCTGGAAGAGCGCTTTGCTAGTCCTTCTGCACAAGGGCCAATCTAAGCCCCTCGACCAACCGTCAAGCTACAGGCCCATAAGCCTCCTCGATGGCGCAGGGAAGCTACTGGAAAGACTTATTCTGCGAAGACTAGGGAAGCACATTGACTCGGTGAAAGGTCTCAGCGACTCCCAGTTCTGCTTCAGGAAATCAAGGTCCACGACAGACGCCATCTCAAAGGTCCTGCAAATGGCTCGGGCAGCTGGCGCCGGGGCGGCAAAGAACAGGGACCTCTGTGCGGTTGTCACCCTGGACGTTAGGAATGCGTTCAACTCGGCACCCTGGAAGCTGATTGACGCATCGCTGCAGTGGTGCAACACTCCCGAGCACTTGATCAACGTCATTCGATCGTACATGTCCAACCGGTCAGTCCTCATCGACAGGGACCCCGACACCAACGCAACGCATCTCCCTGTATCGCGCGGCGTTCCGCAGGGGTCGGTTTTGGGCCCCACTCTATGGAACCTCTTCTACGACGGTGTTCTAAGACTCAGTGTTCCAGGCCCGACCAGGCTCATAGCGTTCGACGACGACGTGGCCGTCGTCGCAGTGGCCCACAATGCGGAGCTACTGGAGCTGGCCATGAATTCAGCACTCTCGGCCGTCAGCACCTGGATGGCCGAAAACGGACTGTCGCTGGCCCCAGAGAAGTCGGAGAGCATCGTGCTGACCAACAAGTACGCCTATCGACAACCAGAGTTTGCCGTGAATGGCTGTCCTGTTCCGGTGAAGAGTTCACTCCGCTACCTCGGCGTTCACCTGGACACCAGGCTGTCCTTCGTGGAGCATGCACGTGTGGTAGCTGCTGGAGCCAAGAAGGCAGAAACCGCCCTGGGTAGGCTCATGCCGAACACCGGAGGTCCCACTCAGTCCAAGCGTCAACTCCTGATGAGCGTCGTACACAGAAGGGTGCTGTATGGGGCCCAGGTCTGGGCGGACGAAGTCTGCAGTACTAAAAAGGCAAAGAGCCTAATGACCCAAGCCCAGAGGTGCGCAGCACTGAGAGTGGCTCGCTGCTACCGCACGGTCTCGGACATGGCAGCGCTAATATTGGCAAGAATGCCTCCGGCCCCACACCTGGCGCACGAGAGGAAGAGCTACGCAGAGTCGAGGAGAACAGGCACGCCCCACGCCAAACCAGAGTTGCGGAAAGAGGTCATTCGCCAGTGGCAGTCCACCTGGGATGCCACCAGCAAGGGTTCATGGACGAAAGTGCTGATCCCGGACGTGGGCAGATGGTGGTACTACGGCCTCAAGACAACCACATACCGTATGTCACAGGCACTGTCGGGTCATGGTTGCTTTCAAGCATACCTATTCAAGAGGGCTAGAGCACAAAGCCCGGCGTGCATGCATTGCACCGCAGCCCACGATGACGCAGAGCATACCATCTTGAACTGCCCCTTCTGGTACGATTCCAGAGCGGAACTGACAAGATCCCTCGGCAGACCATCTCGCCCAGAGGATGTGGGTGACCTATTGTGTGGTCCTATTCAAGAGGATCTGCCAACGGAGAGATGTCAGCAGGTCAGGTTGTTGGCGGCAGCAAGGAGGAACTCAAGCCTTTTCGCAGAAATGGTTGAGTCTATATTGGGCCAAAAGGAGACGCTGGAGAGAGCGAGGCAGAAAGCGGCAGCAGCAGCCACATAAACATAAACTAGTTAAGCAAATAAATGTAGGCCGAAGGCCAAAAACAGGGCGGTTAGAGGCCCCCATTTCTTTTTAATTGTAAAAATTAGTAAAGTTAAGTATTAATTGTATTTGCTGTTATTATGTAAATAAATGATGTGACCAGGGAGGCCGCAATGGGAACACCATATTTCCCTTCCTGGCCACGATTCCAAAACGAAAAAAAAAAAAAAAAAAAAAAAAGGTACTTAGGTATACTAAATAAACAAATTATAAATTTATATTTGAATACAAACATCGTGTTTGACTATAGATATATTAAATTTTTAAAAATGCTAGGACAGGATATTAAATAATGTTAATAATTTATGTTACATAAATACATAATGTAATATTAAAAAGGTAGGCAAGTGGGTGTCGCTCTGCTGTACAGTAGGTTCCAAGTGGGTCACTGTATAATGGATGGTATTACATTTAAATTCAATGGTATTATATCATTGTATAAGAAAAACGATTCTGAGCGGGGACGGTATGTCCTTCTAGGTATAAGACATATTATATACTTATCTATGGTATTAAAAAAAAATTGACGTATAATGAATTCCAAATTAATCATATCACAATATCCATTAGGTACTTATAACGCGTTACCTGTACACCAACAACAGACCCTGATACTATCATAGATATATAGTAGTATACTTTTGAAGTTTTAAGTACCCACGAATAATATTATACAATCACAACAAAATAACTAAAATAGTTATTCTAGGTTTTTTATTATGTGATTTCGTCCAAATTTGAATTTAAAATGTTTTTAAAAGTAACTGTGTTTATATTAGATTTTTTAGATTTTTTGGTTACAGTATGAACTATTTATGAGAACCATTGTTTTGAATTTGCAATCCTTAGCTATAAAATCTGAACATTTTATAATTTATTAATTACAATGAATGATAATTTTCGAGATTTTGATGAATTTTGTGAAAATTCGATCTTTAAATGCTTATAAAAAAAAATTGTGCCTATGTATTTTTAATATTTTTCAATTGCTATTGTAACAATATATCAGGAGCATTTTATTAAATTTCTACACTTTTTGGCCCAATAGATAAAACTTTATTAATATTTATAGAAAAAAAACTAAAAAAATTGAAAACTGAAAAGTCCGTAAACAGCTCAAAAAGAGTCAAAATATTTTCAAAATTGTACAGTGTATAGGAAATGCTAATATGAACATTCAGTGAAATTTTCATGTATCTACAGTTGTTCGTTATTAAATTACAACAAAATAAGGAAATCACTACATGAGAAATCGAGTGAATATCAAATGTTGTAAAAATTTGAATTTCAAACGCTCATAAAAATTTAATTTGACTTTCCGGTAGAGATTTTTTTATTGATAAAGGTAGACAGACTTATGAGTAATCTTGTATTTCATTTAAAAATCTTTGATTTAAAAAGAAAAATTTTTACGAATTCTTAACTCAAAATAATTTGCTAATTTTCGTGATTATCCATATTTTGTCAATTTTTGAACTTTAAATGCTTATAAAAAAAAATTGTGACTAAGGATTTTTAATATTTTTCATCTGCCTTTGAAACAATATACTAGGAGCCTTCTATTAAATGTTCAAGCTTTCGAAACCAACAAATAAAATGTTATTGATATTTCTAGAAAAAAAACTAAAAAAAAATGGAAAATGAAAATGTCCCTAAACAGTTCAAAATAAATCAAAATATTTTGAAAATGTTATCGTGTATAGAAAATGCAAATATAAACAACCAGTAAAAATTTCATGTATCTACGGTCATTTTTTTTAAAGAACACCAAAAACCAAATTCAATTTTGTGAAAAATTGATTTTGCGTAAAAATTCCCGTTTTTCCTTAATTTTTCTTTGGTTTTTCTTGGCGCTTTTGAAAATTACTGGGAATTTTAAATTTTGACCTCCCAATGCACCAACGATATTCACTTTCCAATCGTACAAGATACTGAAGTTGAAAATTGAAGCATTATTTCGACTACCTATCGTGTACACAGACACAAAAAAAATAGGCAGGTAAGTGGATGTCGCTCAGCTGTACAGTAGGTTACAAGTTGGTCATTGTTTAATGGATTGAATTAAATTTGAATTCAATGATATAATATCATTGTATAAGAAAAACGATTCTGAACGGAGACGGTTTGTCAGTTTACCATGAACCTAATCACCCGCGGTTCTATGATAAGTCGGTACTGACTCATAAGTTAAATGATACATGTTCATAATTTATGATATTTATATAGATAATACCTACCTATTTTTTTTTTATTCGTTTTTACGGCGAGAAACAAATTGTTAGAAATTAAAATCCCATTTTAAGCGGTTTTTCGTAATTTTTCAGTACTTTTTCCCTTGGCATTAAATAACTATTGGGAAAATCGAAAAATGACCTCTCTAAAGTACCATTTTGGTCCAATTTGCTAATAGGTAAGGTACTATATGTTGAAATCAAAGCACTCCTTCTGGTAGAAATTTTGTATCCTTGCTCCTCTCAGAATCTAAAACACACATCATTGTAAAATCAATACATTCATCGTTCCACTCAGAATCTAAAATATAATTTAACATTATTAGATATTTTGGTATTTATAGATATGTGCTGTTAACTATACACTATTAAAACTTATAGTTTTAATTAATACTTATTTAATTTTTAACGAATAACGTTTTGTTTTATTTTTTTCTTCCTGTGCTTTTAATATACGGAGTGGTTCTCGTATGTCTGATATTTGTAACCGCCTTCCGTACAGTGGTGTAGTAACCCGTCGCTCTCACTTGATTGGTTACTGCACACTTCTTTAACGACGAATGCACGTACACGTCGTCGCAATGGATCGGAGGATGGTGGTTGAAGTGAAGGTAGAGTAAGAAGTTTAACACAAAATGTAGTTAATTATTGATATATGTTTATTAACACGAAACTAATAATATAGTAAATTTTAAGTAAGTTGAAATTTGTCGACAGAATAATAATTCTACCGGAGAATAGTTGTAATTTAAATTATACTTGATGTGGACGGCGATGCGGCTGTTTCTAGTCCGCGACCCACACAAGTATTGTAAAGCACTGGTAATTACTTCTATGTCTGAAAAGTCTGTGAAACAGGGAACCTATTTATATGAGACATGCCCGGGATTTAGGAAAGGATGATTGACGTCATAGGAATGGCGTGATGCGTAGTCGATCAGTATTAACCAATGAGGCGGCAGCCTCAGTGGCCTATTTTGGTGGCGTGATGTTGTTCAGGCCACCTAACCCTTGGAACGCCGTTTTTTAGCAAAACGTCGGTTTACTACATTCCTCCCTTGTAAGAATGATACTCCGTATCATAAAGATGAAATGGCTGGATACACGGAATATGCCGTGCTCCGTGGTATTAGGGCTTCCTGCTTGATTACGTCTCTCGGTGTATGCCCGGAACTTCCTTTGGATCTTGTAGTAGAAGCACCTCACATATGGGGCGTACACTTCTAGGATGTAAAGGATATATTTCAGGACACATGAGGAAATCACTGACATGTTTACATTGACTTCTATCGATTTCGTCATAGGTGGAATACATTTCTTTTGATTTACTTATAGCTAAATACTTATGATTAGGTTTTACATATAAACAATAATTTTAATAATAATTTGATAGATCTGGAAAAATGTCCTTCTTCTGAAGTTCATCTTGATGATCCTATTAATGAAATACCAACAATTCAAACTGAATTTAGACAACGTATTAAGAATGGTCCATTCCAACCTATATTAAACAGTTATCCAAAAACAGCGTTACATTACGACATTTTCAAAGTCACTGGTATAAACAGTTTCCTTGGCTTGAGTATAGTCAAATAGGAGATTTAGCATATTGTTTTCCTTGTCGAATGTTTACACATTCTTCAGGAATCAATATTGGACAGGCAGAATTAACTTATTCAAAGTCTGGTTTTAAAAATTGGAAACTGGCTACATCTAAATTTAAATTGCATCAATTATCCAAAGCCCATTTAAACAGCTCTACATCTTTAAACAATTTTTTACATTTAAAACCAATTGACATAGTTTTGGATCAAAATAGAGAACTTGTGCAAAGTCAAAAAGAACAAACACGATTAAAAAATAGACAAATTATGAAACGACTGATTGATATAACAGTTTGTCTTGGTATAGGTGGTAAACCGTTTCGCGGGCATAGTGAAAAGTCTAATGATATTCACAAAGGACTGTTTTTGGATATAGTTGGACTCTTAACAAAATATGATCCTATTCTAAATTAACATAGCAGTAACTATTTATAAGGAACAATTTTTTACCGATGACGAGAAAAATCAAATTATTAAAGAATATCACGATACGCGATGTTTTGTTATAACACTACGGTATAATATACCGGTATAAAATAAAATCTTCGTAATTAAATCCTTATCTACGTTATTATTATTTTATACCTATTTATTATTTATAGACTTTATTAAAATTATCGCGTAGCTAATTAGTGTGTCCCAATTGTTGTCTTTGTCTACGAAACTTCGTAGATAAGCCTTTAATGTTTTGTGAGATCGCTCAAGATATCCATTAGACTGTGGGTGCCATGATTTTTCTCGTCATCGGTAAAAAATTGTTCCTTATAAATAGTTACTGCTATATCAGTGTTTCGGAATATGCAACGGAACATCGTGCGTATGCGCTCGTAGCAGGTCAACGTTGTTAACCCTTCTAGCCTGATACCTAGTCGAGAATTGATTAATTTGTTTTTCAATACAATATATTTTAATCTCTTTAATAGCGTCGTAATAATTCTCGGCGTTAATTGTCGTATAATGATTATTTTTAAGATTATAGAATATTACTAATTGTCTACCAAGCAATCTGATGTTAGAGTTAAAGGTTTAGGTATTATTTTTCAACTAAAAAAGTTTGAATTTATATTTGCTCTAGAAATGTTTCATCCTATTCTTAATGCAGTGTTAAAAGTAAGCACATTTCTACAAACTTATTACATAAATTTGTTGACAGCTGTGGAAGTAGTAGAGTCCTTGAAAGAATCACTGAACAAAATGAGAAATGAGGAATATGAATTTCAAAATATTTATAAAAATACTGTTAGATTATGTACTTGATATTGATATTCCAATTACAACTTTAAGAAAAAGTTTAAAAAGTTTAAAAAAAAAATTTTTTCAAAAATAGCATGTCTTGAAGAGCTACCTTCTATGAAATTATACACTAACTGGATAGTTCCAAAAAAATCAAAAGCAATTCTATTTTTACAACCAACAGAATCAACCAAAATTAGATTTAAACAATGGCCGTAAGAGTGTACAAAAGATATCTTCTTATTCTTTTCTTTAAATTTAGTTTGAACACCTGCAGTACTACCTACCATTGTCGCAGCTCCATCAAAACAAGTTGAAACAATGTTTTCCCATTTAATGTTATATTCTTCAATGACATCACTCAATGTATTGAAAATGCTTTGAGCATTAACAGACTTTATTCTTTTCATTGTTAAAAACTGTTCTACAGCAGAGCACTTGGCGTCATCAAAGTATCTGATCCGATTACAATTGATAGTTGCTCGTGATGCCCTAAATCACTTGTTTCATCGGAAATCAATGATAGTTTTTATCTTGTATACACTCTTTTAATTGTCTTTTCATAAATTGACTTATGGACAAAATTAAGTCGTTTTGAATTCGATTACTGCAATATAAAGCGTTTTTTGGTCCAGAGTTAATATGTTAATTTAGAATAGGATCATATTTTGTTAAGAGTCCAACTATATCCAAAAACAGTCCTTTGTGAATATCATTAGACTTTTCACTATGCCCGCGAAACGGTTTACCACCTATACCAAGACAAACTGTTATATCAATCAGTCGTTTCATAATTTGTCTATTTTTTAATCGTGTTTGTTCTTTTTGACTTTGCACAAGTTCTCTATTTTGATCCAAAACTATGTCAATTGGTTTTAAATGTAAAAAATTGTTTAAAGATGTAGAGCTGTTTAAATGGGCTTTGGATAATTGATGCAATTTAAATTTAGATGTAGCCAGTTTCCAATTTTTAAAACCAGACTTTGAATAAGTTAATTCTGCCTGTCCAATATTGATTCCTGAAGAATGTGTAAACATTCGACAAGGAAAACAATATGCTAAATCTCCTATTTGACTATACTCAAGCCAAGGAAACTGTTTATACCAGTGACTTTGAAAATGTCGTAATGTAACGCTGTTTTTGGATAACTGTTTAATATAGGTTGGAATGGACCATTCTTAATACGTTGTCTAAATTCAGTTTGAATTGTTGGTATTTCATTAATAGGATCATCAAGATGAACTTCAGAAGAAGGACATTTTTCCAGATCTATCAAATTATTATTAAAATTATTGTTTATATGTAAAACCTAATCATAAGTATTTAGCTATAAGTAAATCAAAAGAAATGTATTCCACCTATGACGAAATCGATAGAAGTCAATGTAAACATGTCAGTGATTTCCTCATGTGTCCTGAAATATATCCTTTACATCCTAGAAGTGTACGCCCCATATGTGAGGTGCTTCTACTACAAGATCCAAAGGAAGTTCCGGGCATACACCGAGAGACGTAATCAAGCAGGAAGCCCTAATACCACGGAGCACGGCATATTCCGTGTATCCAGCCATTTCATCTTTATGATACGGAGTATCATTCTTACAAGGGAGGAATGTAGTAAACCGACGTTTTGCTAAAAAACGGCGTTCCAAGGGTTAGGTGGCCTGAACAACATCACGCCACCAAAATAGGCCACTGAGGCTGCCGCCTCATTGGTTAATACTGATCGACTACGCATCACGCCATTCCTATGACGTCAATCATCCTTTCCTAAATCCCGGGCATGTCTCATATAAATAGGTTCCCTGTTTCACAGACTTTTCAGACATAGAAGTAATTACCAGTGCTTTACAATACTTGTGTGGGTCGCGGACTAGAAACAGCCGCATCGCCGTCCACATCAAGTATAATTTAAATTACAACTATTCTCCGGTAGAATTATTATTCTGTCGACAAATTTCAACTTACTTAAAATTTACTATATTATTAGTTTCGTGTTAATAAACATATATCAATAATTAACTACATTTTGTGTTAAACTTCTTACTCTACCTTCACTTCAACCACCATCCTCCGATCCATTGCGACGACGTGTACGTGCATTCGTCGTTAAAGAAGTGTGCAGTAACCAATCAAGTGAGAGCGACGGGTTACTACACCACTGTACGGAAGGCGGTTACAAATATCAGACATACGAGAACCACTCCGTATATTAAAAGCACAGGAAGAAAAAAATAAAACAAAACGTTATTCGTTAAAAATTAAATAAGTATTAATTAAAACTATAAGTTTTAATAGTGTATAGTTAACAGCACATATCTATAAATACCAAAATATCTAATAATGTTAAATTATATTTTAGATTCTGAGTGGAACGATGAATGTATTGATTTTACAATGATGTGTGTTTTAGATTCTGAGAGGAGCAAGGATACAAAATTTCTACCAGAAGGAGTGCTTTGATTTCAACATATAGTACCTTACCTATTAGCAAATTGGACCAAAATGGTACTTTAGAGAGGTCATTTTTCGATTTTCCCAATAGTTATTTAATGCCAAGGGAAAAAGTACTGAAAAATTACGAAAAACCGCTTAAAATGGGATTTTAATTTCTAACAATTTGTTTCTCGCCGTAAAAACGAATAAAAAAAAATAGGTAGGTATTATCTATATAAATATCATAAATTATGAACATGTATCATTTAACTTATGAGTCAGTACCGACTTATCATAGAACCGCGGGTGATTAGGTTCATGGTAAACTGACAAACCGTCTCCGTTCAGAATCGTTTTTCTTATACAATGATATTATATCATTGAATTCAAATTTAATTCAATCCATTAAACAATGACCAACTTGTAACCTACTGTACAGCTGAGCGACATCCACTTACCTGCCTATTTTTTTTGTGTCTGTGTACACGATAGGTAGTCGAAATAATGCTTCAATTTTCAACTTCAGTATCTTGTACGATTGGAAAGTGAATATCGTTGGTGCATTGGGAGGTCAAAATTTAAAATTCCCAGTAATTTTCAAAAGCGCCAAGAAAAACCAAAGAAAAATTAAGGAAAAACGGGAATTTTTACGCAAAATCAATTTTTCACAAAATTGAATTTGGTTTTTGGTGTTCTTTAAAAAAATGACCGTAGATACATGAAATTTTTACTGGTTGTTTATATTTGCATTTTCTATACACGATAACATTTTCAAAATATTTTGATTTATTTTGAACTGTTTAGGGACATTTTCATTTTCCATTTTTTTTTAGTTTTTTTTCTAGAAATATCAATAACATTTTATTTGTTGGTTTCGAAAGCTTGAACATTTAATAGAAGGCTCCTAGTATATTGTTTCAAAGGCAGATGAAAAATATTAAAAATCCTTAGTCACAATTTTTTTTTATAAGCATTTAAAGTTCAAAAATTGACAAAATATGGATAATCACGAAAATTAGCAAATTATTTTGAGTTAAGAATTCGTAAAAATTTTTCTTTTTAAATCAAAGATTTTTAAATGAAATACAAGATTACTCATAAGTCTGTCTACCTTTATCAATAAAAAAATCTCTACCGGAAAGTCAAATTAAATTTTTATGAGCGTTTGAAATTCAAATTTTTACAACATTTGATATTCACTCGATTTCTCATGTAGTGATTTCCTTATTTTGTTGTAATTTAATAACGAACAACTGTAGATACATGAAAATTTCACTGAATGTTCATATTAGCATTTCCTATACACTGTACAATTTTGAAAATATTTTGACTCTTTTTGAGCTGTTTACGGACTTTTCAGTTTTCAATTTTTTTAGTTTTTTTTCTATAAATATTAATAAAGTTTTATCTATTGGGCCAAAAAGTGTAGAAATTTAATAAAATGCTCCTGATATATTGTTACAATAGCAATTGAAAAATATTAAAAATACATAGGCACAATTTTTTTTTATAAGCATTTAAAGATCGAATTTTCACAAAATTCATCAAAATCTCGAAAATTATCATTCATTGTAATTAATAAATTATAAAATGTTCAGATTTTATAGCTAAGGATTGCAAATTCAAAACAATGGTTCTCATAAATAGTTCATACTGTAACCAAAAAATCTAAAAAATCTAATATAAACACAGTTACTTTTAAAAACATTTTAAATTCAAATTTGGACGAAATCACATAATAAAAAACCTAGAATAACTATTTTAGTTATTTTGTTGTGATTGTATAATATTATTCGTGGGTACTTAAAACTTCAAAAGTATACTACTATATATCTATGATAGTATCAGGGTCTGTTGTTGGTGTACAGGTAACGCGTTATAAGTACCTAATGGATATTGTGATATGATTAATTTGGAATTCATTATACGTCAATTTTTTTTTAATACCATAGATAAGTATATAATATGTCTTATACCTAGAAGGACATACCGTCCCCGCTCAGAATCGTTTTTCTTATACAATGATATAATACCATTGAATTTAAATGTAATACCATCCATTATACAGTGACCCACTTGGAACCTACTGTACAGCAGAGCGACACCCACTTGCCTACCTTTTTAATATTACATTATGTATTTATGTAACATAAATTATTAACATTATTTAATATCCTGTCCTAGCATTTTTAAAAATTTAATATATCTATAGTCAAACACGATGTTTGTATTCAAATATAAATTTATAATTTGTTTATTTAGTATACCTAAGTACCTTTTTTTTTTTTTTTTTTTTTTTTCGTTTTGGAATCGTGGCCAGGAAGGGAAATATGGTGTTCCCATTGCGGCCTCCCTGGTCACATCATTTATTTACATAATAACAGCAAATACAATTAATACTTAACTTTACTAATTTTTACAATTAAAAAGAAATGGGGGCCTCTAACCGCCCTGTTTTTGGCCTTCGGCCTACATTTATTTGCTTAACTAGTTTATGTTTATGTGGCTGCTGCTGCCGCTTTCTGCCTCGCTCTCTCCAGCGTCTCCTTTTGGCCCAATATAGACTCAACCATTTCTGCGAAAAGGCTTGAGTTCCTCCTTGCTGCCGCCAACAACCTGACCTGCTGACATCTCTCCGTTGGCAGATCCTCTTGAATAGGACCACACAATAGGTCACCCACATCCTCTGGGCGAGATGGTCTGCCGAGGGATCTTGTCAGTTCCGCTCTGGAATCGTACCAGAAGGGGCAGTTCAAGATGGTATGCTCTGCGTCATCGTGGGCTGCGGTGCAATGCATGCACGCCGGGCTTTGTGCTCTAGCCCTCTTGAATAGGTATGCTTGAAAGCAACCATGACCCGACAGTGCCTGTGACATACGGTATGTGGTTGTCTTGAGGCCGTAGTACCACCATCTGCCCACGTCCGGGATCAGCACTTTCGTCCATGAACCCTTGCTGGTGGCATCCCAGGTGGACTGCCACTGGCGAATGACCTCTTTCCGCAACTCTGGTTTGGCGTGGGGCGTGCCTGTTCTCCTCGACTCTGCGTAGCTCTTCCTCTCGTGCGCCAGGTGTGGGGCCGGAGGCATTCTTGCCAATATTAGCGCTGCCATGTCCGAGACCGTGCGGTAGCAGCGAGCCACTCTCAGTGCTGCGCACCTCTGGGCTTGGGTCATTAGGCTCTTTGCCTTTTTAGTACTGCAGACTTCGTCCGCCCAGACCTGGGCCCCATACAGCACCCTTCTGTGTACGACGCTCATCAGGAGTTGACGCTTGGACTGAGTGGGACCTCCGGTGTTCGGCATGAGCCTACCCAGGGCGGTTTCTGCCTTCTTGGCTCCAGCAGCTACCACACGTGCATGCTCCACGAAGGACAGCCTGGTGTCCAGGTGAACGCCGAGGTAGCGGAGTGAACTCTTCACCGGAACAGGACAGCCATTCACGGCAAACTCTGGTTGTCGATAGGCGTACTTGTTGGTCAGCACGATGCTCTCCGACTTCTCTGGGGCCAGCGACAGTCCGTTTTCGGCCATCCAGGTGCTGACGGCCGAGAGTGCTGAATTCATGGCCAGCTCCAGTAGCTCCGCATTGTGGGCCACTGCGACGACGGCCACGTCGTCGTCGAACGCTATGAGCCTGGTCGGGCCTGGAACACTGAGTCTTAGAACACCGTCGTAGAAGAGGTTCCATAGAGTGGGGCCCAAAACCGACCCCTGCGGAACGCCGCGCGATACAGGGAGATGCGTTGCGTTGGTGTCGGGGTCCCTGTCGATGAGGACTGACCGGTTGGACATGTACGATCGAATGACGTTGATCAGGTGCTCGGGAGTGTTGCACCACTGCAGCGATGCGTCAATCAGCTTCCAGGGTGCCGAGTTGAACGCATTCCTAACGTCCAGGGTGACAACCGCACAGAGGTCCCTGTTCTTTGCCGCCCCGGCGCCAGCTGCCCGAGCCATTTGCAGGACCTTTGAGATGGCGTCTGTCGTGGACCTTGATTTCCTGAAGCAGAACTGGGAGTCGCTGAGACCTTTCACCGAGTCAATGTGCTTCCCTAGTCTTCGCAGAATAAGTCTTTCCAGTAGCTTCCCTGCGCCATCGAGGAGGCTTATGGGCCTGTAGCTTGACGGTTGGTCGAGGGGCTTAGATTGGCCCTTGTGCAGAAGGACTAGCAAAGCGCTCTTCCAGCGAGCTGGGAAGTGTCCCGACTGAATGCAGGCGTTGTACGCGGTGAGGAAGATCTCCGGATGCCTGAATGCTGCCATCTTGATCACCTCGTTCGGGACCAGGTCGGGTCCAGGTGCCTTCCCCGATGGAAGTCTCCCAGACGCTAGCTTCAGCTCATCCCTTGTGAATGACGGCTCCTCTTCTTCAAGTGGAACGAGCTCTGTAGATTCGCCTGTTGTGATCGGGATCTCCGTCCAATCGATCGGCGGTGACGCTGGGAATAGGCCGCGCGCGATTGTGAGTGCGGCCGTATTGTCCATGGTTGGGAGACGGCTTCCGAGCCTCTTCATCACCAGCCTGTAAGGTACGCCCCACGAGTCACTTTTTACCCTGTCGCAGAGCTCCTTCCAACTTGCTTCCTGCGCTTTCCTGATAGCGAGTCTCAGCTGTTTTCTGGCTTTGTTGTACGTTATAAAGGACGCTTCGCGGTCTGAGGTGTCTGCCCGGCGTCCCGCGCGCTGGTACTGTCTGCGGGCGGCGATGGAGGTTTTCCGCAAGTCTGCAATTTCCTTGCATCACCAGTGCACCGCTCTTTTTCCCTGGAATGAGGTTCTGCGTGGCATCGCGGCGTCGCAGGAGTCGACCAGGAACTGTTGTAGGTGTGCCACGTGATCCTCCGCGGACGTGGATGGTGGTAGTGGGAGTGAGGCCTCCCTGGCTCGTCTCCAGTGTTCCTCGAGGGCTTCAGGGAAGAGTTTCTTGATCGCCCAGGCTTTGGCTGCCGCGGTGCGGACGACCGGCGCCGAAGTTGGAATCGCGGATGAGTTGGCCACGGTAAACTCCACGTAGAAGTGGTCGCTTGCCGAGTCGAGCTCCGTGAGGACGGACCAATTCGCTACTGGGGGGCTTGCATTCGGTTGAAAGCGAGCAAACGTCACGTCGATGACTGACTCCGCGTTGACACGGCTGTAGGTTGGCACGGAGCCCACGTTGCATGGCAGCAGACCCAGAGATGCAGCTAGGCCAGACAGCATCGTGCCCCTGGGGCCGTCCCTGGCTGAGCCCCATTCCGCCGAGTGAGAGTTGAAGTCACCAGCAACGATGAGGTTGTCGTCGTTGTCTACTGAATCCCGAATGGCCAGCTCCAGCTGAGTCTTAGAACACCGTCGTAGAAGAGGTTCCATAGAGTGGAGCCTCCCCTGCCAAGAAGACCTGCGCACGCTTATGTACATGGAATAATTTTTGAAAGATTTTTATTTTTTTTAGCTATTTATGGACAGTTGAAATTTTCAATGTTTCTTATTTTTTTTTCTGAAATGTCGATAAAAACATTTTGGCTGGCCAAATATTTTTAAAAATTTAACACAAGGTTAACCTTAGGTATGAATCACAAACGTTTTATGACTTTTCAAATTCAAAATAACTTGCAGAATTTCGCGATTTTGACATATTTCGTAAATATTTGAACTTTAAATGCTTATATAAACTAAAATTGTGACTAACGATTTTTGATTTTTTTCACAACGATAAGTACAACTTATAATAAACCTTCTATTACATTTTGAAGATTTTTTGGAGTGCACATTTTTTTTATCGACATTTCAAAAAAAAAAACTTAGAAAAATCGAGATTTTCAATTGTAATAGCTTAAAAAAAGTCAAAATATTTATTATGTCACCTAAAAAGTCCACATCGCTCTCTAATAAACGACTTCGATCAGGTAAAAAAGGTAATCAAAAAAAAAAATGAAGAATGTTCAGAAAGGTATAAGTAAAAGTATACGGTAAGTACCTGCTAGTTTCTACTAATAAATAGTTTTAAATTTTAATATTATGTATAACATTTTTGTAAATTTATCTAAAAGAACGTTGAGCTTTATTAAAGAGAAACTACTCCGAATATGTCTTTATTCCGTACATATCGACCGAAAATGTAAGCCCGTCGACACAAAATCAACATTTTCCATTTAGTACATCATCAAGTCTCATTGAAATGCCGTCTGATGAAGCTGAAGTTATGGAACACACCTTATGTATTGAATATAAAAATTATAGATTAGATGATACAATTTTAGGGTAGGTACCTATTTTTAATTTTATAATTTACAAAGTTGTATTTTAAAATATTTTACGAAATTCGTCAAAATCACAAAAATACAAAGTATTTTGAATCATGAATTCATAGAAATGTTTCTATTTATATGTATAATCTATGATTTAAAACTTTAGTATACGTTTGTTTATTTATATTTTAGTTTTAAGGCACAATAATTTTAAATGGGCCCTCGTACAAATATATATTTTTTCAAATTTATATGGACTCAAATCAGATTCTTACCAATGTTATAAACTTTTTAAAAATTGTAATATAGTAACTTAATTTCCCTGTAAAATACTAAAAATCAAGTTTCAAAACTATATTTTATGAATTTCTAACTGAAAAATAGTTTGCAACATTTAAATAAATTAGCATGGCCATAAATAGCTCAAAACGAGTCAAAATAGTTTGAAAATTTTACCTAATAAAAATGTTATTATTAATATTTGTTATCCGTTTTTGAAATATAATAAAAAATGGATCAATAATTTACCACTGAATAAAAAAATCGTAACAATTATAAGTTCAAACGCTCGTAAAAAATGTTTGCTCCGTGTAAGTATACTTTTTTAGCGATAAATGTATTAATTTTATGTTTTTTTTTTCACTTGTGTCTGTCTTTACCTTTTAGGACAATAAAAATGCTTAGATTTTCTTCAACAGTAGCTTTTCTGATAGTTGGTACTTTAGGTGGTTAAAAGTTCAAATTTCCCAGTAGTTTTTAAAACCGTCGTGAAAAACAAATGAAAAATTAAGGGAAAATTGGAATATTTAACGCAAAACAGATTTTGGGTAAAATCGATTTTGGTTTTTGGTGTAACTCGAAAAGAAATAACTGTAGATACATGAAATGTTGACTGAATGTTTAAATTTTAATTTTTTTATACACCATAAAAATATTTTAATTTATTTTGAACTGTTTACGGACATTTTCAGTTTACAATTTTTTTGGTTTTTTTTTCTATGAATATCAATATAATTTTATTTGCTCTGTAAAAAGCTTCAAAATTTAATACGAGGCTCCTTATACATTGTTACAGTAGTAGTTGAAAAATATTAAAATTACATAGTCACAAATTTTTTTTATAAGCATTGAAATTCGAATTTTGACAAAATACGTAAAAATCACGAAAATGTGCAAATTATTTTGGGTTAGAATTCATAAAAATGTTTCTTTTATTTAAAATAAGGTTCCACGTAAACATATAGATTTATATATCAAAATGTCTAATTTTAGCTATGAAAGATAAATCTTTTGTGAATTTTTAACTGAAAAATATTTTTAACATTTTCGAAATTTTGTCAAAATTTGAATTTTAAATGCATATCAAATATAATCATGCCTATGTATCTTTAACATTTTGAAATTTTAAATAATGAAACTTATAAGGAACTTTGTATTAAAATTTCAAGCTTTTTATCCAGGAAAGCTCAAAAAACTTCTCAAGCCTATAACTAACTCAAAAAGAGTCAACATTTTTTTAATATAGGTATTCTATACGAGATTATTTTACATAATCGATACATGTTTTCAATTATTATAAAAAAAAGGTAATTTTTTACTTTTTACAGATCTCTCGAAGGACGTAGGATTGTGAATATAAGTCATTTATTTTCTCAGATTCAAAATAGCCGGCATGGAAAATTGGAATGCTCGTTTTTAGATATACAATTTCTAACTGAGCACTGTAGAGGGTATAGCCCCGGAGTTTGTCGATTGCGTCCCAGGCGCAGGTAAACGATTTTTTGCCCACCTTTTCCGTGTTCCGATTGCGTCCTATTGTATAGTAGGTAATTAGGTATAGTAGGTATAGTAGGTATGTGACACATAAATTGACAAATTAAATCTTATATTTAAACACGAATTTATTTTTACTTGATGATTTTACGAACATTTTATCTTAAGGCTGGTATACTCTTATTGATTTACGACCACGTAGCGATTTAGTACGACAAGTGCCTTAGAGTCGAGAGATACCTACTTTAAAGTTTATTGTTTGTATTGAAAATTCAAAATGAAGACTCAAAATATTACTAAAAGTATAAGTGAAAAAAATAAAGAAATCAAAGTTATTGATAAGTTTAAGTATCGTTTTCACAAAATGTTGGCCAATGATGTCGAGCGTTGGAGTTGCACAAATAAAAAATGCAAATGTTCTTTTGTTTATTATTATTATTTATTCCTACATATTTGGACTTAATTTTATTGGTTTTTGAATTATTATTATTTTATAGCACTGATTAGAAATGTATTATTTAATTATTTATTCTTATAAACATATTTGGACTTAATTTTATTGGTGAACTAGAAATGTATTATTTAAATTATTTAATAATTAAAAAAATAATTACTAGTTATGACTATTCGTTTTCCAATATATCAATCTTGGAACTACGAATGAATTTAATAATCATTACTAAAATCATATTAAAATATTGAGTAATTTAATGCATGTAGGTATACTATACAATTGTATAATACAATGAATACAAGCAAGGTTTCTATCACTTAAGATGGTACATGTCGAGTGTTTCTGCGGGGTAACTACTCCCCTCACGCCGCCAAAGTCAATTGTATTTTATTTTCCAGCTCATATGCTCATTGTAAATTTTTATTACAGATTGTATATATCCAAATAAATGTTAAAAAAAAAAAGGCAGGTAAGTGGATGTCGCTCAGCTGTACAGTAGGTTACAAGTTGGTCATTGTTTAATGGATTGTATTAAACTTGAATTCAATGATATAATATCATTGTATAAGAAAAACGATTCTGAACAGAGACGGTTTGTCAGTCTGTATATTTTATATTGTCATTAATTATTATAACATGTAAGTTGTTTTAATACTATAAACTACAACAAAATAATTAAAATCGTTATTCCTGGTTTATAACTATTATTGTAACAATTTATTGAAATTATATAAACAATTTTATTGACATTCGTAGACAAAAAAAAAAAATAAACACAACAAATTTTAATTTTATACTATTTCCTACCATGAACCTAATCACCCGCGGTTCTATGATAAGTCGGTACTGACTCATAAGTTAATGATACATGTTAATAATTTATGATATTTATATAGATAATACCTACCTATTTTTTTTTTATTCGTTGCTACGGTGATAAACAAATTGTTAGAAATTAAAATCCCATTTTAAGCGGTTTTTCGTAATTTTTCAGTACTTTTTCCCGTGGCATTAAATAACTATTGAGAAAATCGAAAAATGACCTCTCTAAAGTACCATCTTGGTCCAATTTGCTAAAAGATAGAGTACTATATGTTGAAATCAAAGCACTCCTTCTGGTAGAAATTTTGTATACAGGATATAAAAAAAAGAAAAAAAGAAATAAAGAAATAAATAAACACCATTGTAAAACCACTAGCTTCCTTGCTCCGCTCAGAATCTAAAAAAAAGATGGTACAAAATTGAATATAAAATGAAAAATAATGGTATTTTCAATGTTAGTTATTACTTATTGTATTGTAAATTGTAGCTAAAAAAATATTAATCATAAGGATTTGAAACATTTTTCAATAATTAAGTATACTAATGTACACAATGAATTTTTCAAATTCACTAAATTTAAACTTTTTATAGTATCATGAATCGCTTATACTCACACCGTTCTATGATAGATATTAGGTAGGTATAGTGGCATACATGCACATGGGGAGGGGGGTATTCAACCCTCCAACCTAATGACTAATAGGACCTAGAATAATTAATTAATAGTAAAATAGAGATGTGCCACTGTCTCCACTCAGAATCGTTTTTCGCACCTATATGTACAATCATTGGCGTAAATAGTGTTTAAAATTTGGGGGGGCTGAAGCTCAGGTATATACTTAAAACTCTTATGATGCTTTTAAATTATAATAGTGAAATCATTAGTTTTTGGGGGGGCTATAGAAACTTCAAGGGGGCTAAAGCCCCCTAGCCCCCTCCTATTTGCGCCTATGTGTACAATTTATTGATTTACTATTGAATTCATATTGAACACATTCATTTGGTACAGTGACCCAATGACTTGTACACTCGAAATCTACTATATACAGAAGAGCGACTATCTCGGTTTCAGTGGCCTAGTGTAATGTTTATCGTGTTTTAACCCCTCCCCCTCCCCAGTCCCCAATCATATTTATTCAAAAATATATTTGCTATATGCTTCAGATTTCTATCCTAACCTAACCTATAGTTGTCATATTATAATGGTTCTATTGTATATTATAATATTATATATTAATATCAAAATTGGTAACTAGGTACAATAGAGTGCGTAATATTATACTGTAATGCCCCTCAAAAGTTATATATAAATATAAGTCCTGCTGCGTGCTCTCACATGTAAAAAACAATCAATACAAAATATGTAAATATTGGCAAACATATAATCTGAATTCATTATAAGCAGTTGTAGGCCGCCGCTGTAAGTACGTCAAAGCTGTGCTGAGAGCCTGGTAAAGTAATTGCATAAGCATCATAATATATAAGTACCTATATAACAGTTAAATATTATCCTCCTTTATTATAATTTTACTTATTTACTCGAAGAGAATATTATTCTATACCTTAGTGTTAGTTAGTGGCAGTAATTTGAGGGGGTAATGAGTGGATCGCCCCTCGCTTGGGCGTGGTGCGTTGGATTTTGTTATGTATTTATAACTGGAACTGTGACATACAATTTTCAAATAAGCATTAAATAAAAGTAAAGAAATATAATTATAAAATATAAACTCAAGAAGTCGCTTAATGTGGGGCGTGGAACTGTGAAACTATAGGACGCAATCGGAACATAAAAAGGTAAGTAAAAATAATTTACCTATCCGACTCGTGGACGCAATCGACATACTGAAAAGGTATAAAAGGTTGAAATGGGACGCAATCGGATGGCGCCCTATAGCCCAACTTTTAAATTCCGATGCAAAATGTGTGGTATTGTAATGTGCTGGTAGGCCAGGTACCTACTATTGTAGTAAGATAATAGACAAGTGGCTACTAGAACATTAACGTTGCAGGTAGCAGACACTTCTTCTGATGATATCGTCGTGGTAGATGATTAAATAAGGTAGACAGTTGTTGTATAATGTGAATTTATTATTAGTACTTCAATAATTTTGACAAAGTCCAAGTAATGTTGTACAGAGTGGAGTGAAGGTGCTTGCTCTAATGGGTGGTCGTGCACGTCTGAATACAGGCCGATTCGGGCTCCCTTATATATGAGGTTCCACATACCCCTTGCCTATAGATACTGTATCTCGTCTCACGGATGTGATTTGTGTGGTCATCGTTCCAGCCCACGCATTCATGATTTCCCAATATAATTCTGCGTATTACTAAAATATTAATCTATGGTCTATTTCATTAAAATAATAATTTTACTATTTTAATATCGTTGTGTTCAGTGCTTCTGTAAAATATTACATCCGCCTATTTTTGAACCCTTCCGCCTGAGTCATTATATTATTCAGTGAGCTTGTCTCCTTATGTCAAACACAGGAGGAAATCCTATTTCCGTTTTTAATATCCTATTTATGCCGATCTACAGTATATTATGCTAAATATGCACCTGTGGAATTTGTTTTATTGTTAGATAGTAAATTGCTTACTACAGTATTACGTCGATGTTCACATCGGAAAATGAACAAGACTGTAACTATTTGCCAATTAATAAAGCCTTAGTAAACGGCAGTATAGCTATTGGTACGGATTTCATGATATTATACATCTTACCTACTCATTTTTATAGCAACATTTTTTTGAAGTATAAACTTTGATTAGCTTAGTATTTTAGTGTTTTATCTAAAACAATAAAACTAACTGTGTGTAGGTAGTAAATACTTTTCCAATAGTAAAAATTAAATATTTAAATTTTACTATAGGAATTGGTCATGCACAGCTTACTGAACTTTCCGCCTCGGCTGACATTCCATTTTTGTCAACATTCGGATATTTAAATAATTTGTCTTCGGTTAGTCAGTCAATTAAAGATACTGCTTTAGAGGAAATATAAGAATAGAAGAACGGAGAAAGATATAGAAGAACGGCGATTGGCTATATAATGTGGTAATGTGGACAAAGACGGGGTTCCTATGTGCACTGTTATTGTAGACTGCCAGTGGTCGAAAATAAGTTATAAGACTAAGTATAATGCATTTTCAGGAGCAGTAAGATTGCATTTTTATATTTATAGGTAGTATTATTGTTATTTTTTGTCATATGTTTTTAGGCTACTATCATTGGTTTTAAAACTAAAAAAGTGTTATTTCTTGGTATAAGAAACAGCTATTGCTGCATTTGTCAACGAGCTTTAACCAAAAAAATAGAGCCCAGTAATCATCAATACTTCTTAAATTGGAAAGCATCTTCAACGGCAATGGAAGCAGATACAATATTGGGAGGATTTTTGAATAGCATTAATATGCATGGTTTGAAATATAACAAACTGATAGGTATAATGAATAATTTTTTTAGAAATTAGAAATAACAACAATAATAATTTGTCCTATAGGAGACGGTGATAGTTCCGTAACTAATGAGGTATTTCCGTATGGAAATGATTTTAGAGTTAAGAAAATCGAATGTAAAAATCACCTACTCAGAAATTACACTACAAAGTTATCAGCAATTGCAAAACAGACGGACGATAGACGGACGATATCAATTAGGAAGTATATTTCAAAAAAAATATTGTTAGATTAATCTCAGATATAACAAAGGGAGTTAAATATTACATCGAGTCTGATATACCATTGCAAACAAAAATTGCAGGTAGATAATCATTTTTTTACTCAATACGTAATTGAATGTAAAATGTAAATACATTATTCATTTTAAAATATATTATACATTTTAGTTTCAGAACTCCGAAAAGATATTTCCAATAGTCCGTACCATAGATTAGGACAGCACAATAACTGTGCTGTTTATTTTTGTTCGGAACCAAATTCTGGAGAAATAAATCTTGTACCATTGGCAGAACAATCTAAAATGATGACAAGTATCAATAATGTTTTATACAGATTACTCACACACGCTGATAGTTTAATTGAAAATGTGGACAATAATCCATGTGAACAATTGAATAGTATAATTAATAAACATGTTGGTTTAAAACGTATTAATTATAATCGAAAAAATAATTATAAAACCCGAGTGGAAGCTGCAATTTTATCGTATTATTCAAAAAATTATTTGAGAACATTATATAAAAAAAAATAACAACCGCCAGTCCTGGTAAATTATAACTATTCAATATTCATAATATAATTTCTATCATAATTATTTCCATAACTTTTTTAAGGTATAACTGCTAAACGATACATGTCTAATATTGAAATAATACGGAAAAACACTGTTATGAGAAGAAAACTTTTTTGTGAAGGTGGAAAATGGAAAAAGTATAGTGGTCCAGACGCAGATTATGGACTCGCTGAACCATTAAATGGATTAATTAGCGAGAACGATTTAAAGAAGACGAAAAACAATTATTTAAAGCAATTAGAAGAAGTCAATAGAGAAGAATTAGAATATATAACTGGAAAACAAAGTCTAAGTAATGATTGGCACAATGAAAGAAAAAAAAGGCTTACAGCATCAAATTTTGGTGAGATATGCAAGATGAGAAAAAATACAAGTTGCCGAAAAAAAGTATACAACTTATTGTACAGACGAAACACAACGTGTAAACAAACGACTTATGGCATTCAAATGGAACCTTTAGCACGAGCTCACTTTGAAACTCTTTATGATATGCATGTGCAAATATGTGGACTATTTTGTGACAAGGAATTTTCTTATTTAGCCGCAATTCCTGGTAACTGTTTATTTCATAATTTTAAACTAAAAATTTGTATGCAATATATTTGTTCTTCAGATGACAGATGGATTGGTCGGTGAAAATTCTATATTAGAAGTTAAATGTCCATTTGCAGCGAAAGACACTTTAAATCTTGATGCTATCTTAGCTATGTCTACCTTTTATGATGCGTTACATTTTTCTGTTCTGAAATGGGTTCCTCATGTTAATTACACTAAGTCTAATTTTCCTTCTTGGTTTTCCAAGGACTTAATTGATTTAGTTTTCTTGAAGAGAAGAGCCCATTCAATCTTTAAGTTTTCTCAGAACCCTCTCGACTATCGTGAATTTTCTTTGCTTCGTGCTAAGTATAAACTAATGTCAAAAAACTGTTATAAAAAATTTATTGAACTTACTGAATCTCAACTCTGTGCTAATCTCAAAGTATTTTGGAAATTCATAAAGAAAAAAGTTATTAGACACAGTCATTTTCTTCTATTTGCTGATGATCTAAAATTATTTTTAAAAATTGATTCTCTCAATGACTGTTATCTACTTCAAAATGATATCAACTCTTTAGTTACTTGGGCAAATGAACTTCATCTTGAACTCAATTTCTTGAAATGTCACTCAATATCGTTTTACAGAACTCGTGATAGATTTGATTATTCCCACTCTATCAATGCTAATCCTTTAAAGAGATCTGAGAATAAAGTTTTGGACCTAGGTACGTTTGACCGAGAGTTAAATTTCCATTCTCATTTTGACAATATATGCTGCAAGGCCCTAAAAATTCTTGGTTTTATTAAAAGAATTTGTAATGAATTTAAGTTAACTTCTCCCATAAAAACCTTATATTGTGCTTACGTAAGGTCTATTTTGGAATATGGTGCTGTTGTATGGGATCCTTCCACTTCTTGTGGTAAGGATCAAATTGAAAGAGTACAACGTAAATATTAATAATAAAAAATGTTTAATACGTTACTAAATTTATAAATTTATAATAATGTTCAAAATCAGTTACAGTACTGCAGTATAGAAAACGGAGAAGTAACTCTTAAAAAAGACCATAAGTAATTATTATCAAATCATAAATCAATTACGAATTACAAATCGGGAGTTTTGTTATTTTATTATATACACTCCGAATTGGACAAACACCCAAAAAATTAGGTATGATGAGGTATATTTGGAGAATTAAAATGGCCGACAAATTAAAACTGTAAGAAATTTCTTTAAACATTTTATTTAGTGGAAATTGAATAATTCAAACTAAAATATATAACCATTTGAGATTTTATTTAGAATGTTTACTGCCAGAAATTGTAGATCCACTATATGGAAAACGATTTTTGACAAGTGATATTAAAGAGCCTGACCACATTAAACACCAAATTAACAAAAAATAAAAATTTATATTAGTTTCATTTATGATCTAATAGTATTAAACTAACATAGTGTTAAAATTACGAGTATATTATAAATATTATATTACTATATTAGGTATACCTACTACCAACATATTATTAATTTAAAAAATACTTGAAATTACTTATTATCATACTTTAATATAACATTAACAGTTGAACGTAAAAGATAAATCACGGAAAATAAATATTAATTTAATTGCTCTGTATTTATTTTATTCACCATTTATTAGATTTTACTAAATGCATTATATTTAAATAAGTAATAATTCAATAACTACAAATCAAGCTATATTACAATACAGTTCCTACGATCTATATATTGGGACATACATTTAGGTAAGCAGTATTATAATTTATAATCGGTAGTTCATAGGTACGCGCGGGTATTGAAAATATTATGGTGGTATTTGCGTATAATGAATTTTATAATGATAGGAATCGTACTGGACGAACGTTCATAGACAAATAAACGGCGCTCCCGAACAAGCACTCGTCTCCGCCATCGGCCGGTTGCGAAATGAGAATAGTAGGCGTGCCTCAAACGCCGCGCTTGCGGATCGTGAAAACACTTAACAGCGCATCCTCGTCTCGGTCGTTGAACTCGTAAACTTTTAGTGTGGCGCGGGCGTCCTCTTAAAAAACATATTACAATTGAATGTATTTTTTAGTATATACCTATTGTAACGTGCTGGTACTCTCGGTGCCTACTATTGTAGTAATAATAATAGACAATTGGCTGCCAGTAAGTTAACGTTGCATTTAGCAGACACTTTTTCAGATGTTGTAGTCTTGGTTGATGAATAAATAATATAAACAGTTGTTGTATAATTGTGAATTTTATTATTACACTTCAATAATTTTACTAAGTCCAAATATTGTCATACAGAGTGGCGTGAAGGTGCTTGCACTAATGGGTGGTAGTACACGTCTGAATACAGGCCGATTCGGGCTCCCTTATATATGAGGTTCCCCGTACCCCTCGCCTATAGATACTGTATCAAGACTGTCACGGATGTAATTTGTGTGGTCATCATTCCAGCCTACGCATTAACGATTGAATGCATTTCCAAAATATGATTATTATTAAAATAATCATTTCACTCTTTTATATTTGTATACCGTCGTGTTCAGTGTTTCTGTAAATATTACATCCGCCTATTCTTGAACCCTTCATCCTGATCTATTCAGTGAGCTTGTCTCCTTAGGTTTGAAGGAGGGAACCCAACCCATTTCCGTTCCTAATGTCTGACTATGCCGGTCTACCGTATACTATAATAACTATGCACCTGTGGAATTGGTTTTATTGTTACGGAGTAACTTGCTTACACTATATATTTTGTGCTTATGGAATCAAAAACCAAGGCTTCATATAGAAAAGTTATGGAAAGATTCAAAATTCAATTTCCTGAAATTAAGCCTTTGATAATTATGATCAATTTTGAATCAGCCCTCCGCAACGTTTTCCTTGATGTTTATCCTGAAGCTCAGAATTCTTCATATTGGCTCCATTTTGTACAGGTTTTTTTTATTTAAAATCCATTAAATATTAATTTGTATTTTACTAAATTATATTTTCAGCTTCAAATAACAATTAATAAACTTATAACATTTAGAGTTTACTGAAAAACATAAAAAAAATTTGTTATTCAGGATACATCAAGCAAAACCGAGAGGAAAAAATGTGTTTAAGAACGTGTTTGGAGTTGGCTCAATTACCGGCTTATTAAAATGAGCAAGGATTTCAGGAAGTGAAAAATTATGCTCTAACTCATTAAGTATTATTGCCTAGATTTTTCACTTATTTTTCAAGGTAAATTATTGTGATTGTAAAACCATAATTCATAATACTGTTTTTGTTGCATTTAGTTTTTGGCTTACAAGAAAAGGCCTAGAATGTTTTTCTGTACACGGTCAACCAGTAACCACGTAACACAAACAACAATGTAGAAAGCTTTCATTCAACAAAAAACGCTTTTAAATACTTAGCTTTATCAAATTTATAAATCATAATTTGCTCTATACTTTTAATAATGTATTATAAAAATATATGAATGCCAAACAATAAAATAAATAGAAATAAAAATGATTGCTGTTAATATTTAATTTTGAATATAAATTTAAATTTTATATTAAATTAAATTTCTTAAATATAAAAAGTTATAATTTTTAAACAATATAATAAAATAATAAATATTTATCAAAAAATTACAAACATACGTTTTGTGAATATAATACTTCTTTAAACTTTAATTTACGTACAAATCACAAAGCAATTATATAATAATTATATAATTATATTATACTTCTGTTACAAAATTCAATCCGAATTCGTGGAAGTGTACAAATTGTTCTCACAACATGACTCCATCGATTTCAAAAAACCCTGATATACTCTGTCCCAGAGAGTGGTACCGCCACGCGCATCCAACTGAATTCGCTCCGACGTCGAGAGGCCAAATTTCCCCCACCATGTTGGCACTGGTCCATGGTACAGATCTGTCGATGAAACTGGCGCGGCGCGATCCGACGGGTGGCGATCTGGCTGGTAAAATGATGGGGATGCGTGGAAATGAACGCGTTTTGGTCGCCGCCCAGTCCCACTCTCTCCTGAGACAGAGTATAGTATAAGACTAGAAGAACTTATACAATCAGTAAAGTCTTTGGAAAATAAGATTACCCAGCAGGAATCAAATATTTCCAAAATATTTGATGAGACCTTATAATTGTTAAATAATGTTAGGTATCTCGGAGAATAACACGTTGAAAAAAAAATTTCTGCCCTAGAAATAAAAATTACGTTTTTTGAACAAACATACTTTTGTATCGAAGTATCTGACAGAGATCGCAGGAGATTTAAATTATTATTTTCAATATAGAATGCAAAGAAGTTTTTAATGTACGTGAAATAAGGGCTTATAACATTAAAGTATTGTACATAGAAAAAGATATTGGTATACATTTCATAAATTATTTAGGTCCAAATATGTTTAATTCTATGCCTTTACTTCTTAAAAAAGATATATTTCATAACGTTGGAAAAAAATTAGGTTATTTAAACAACAAAAAAACTATATTTAACCACTTAATAAAAAATCTTAATTAGTAGACTTAAAGTAGTAGTTTACTAAGAAAATTAATCTTGTAGTTTTAATGTTATATTAACAGTTAACAGTCTTTTTCATTTTATTTTTTGTTTTTCTTTCTATAATTCTATTTTAAGTTTGCAAATATATGTAACTCATTTGCCCCACCACAAGCTACGATAATTGGGGTAAATTAATCAAATTGTATTATGTATTTATTTAAAAAAAAAAATAACAAATAACCCTGAATCCACCTCTGACAGTGCCTCTGATGAGTTAAGTATGTTTAACCCTGCTTTTTCTTCTGTGAATCTACCCATACAAACCTTAAATGCTATACGACTTGGTAATAACTAATAATAATAACAAACGTCGTCAGCTTAGTGTAAATCTGTCTGATATTAACTGTGTTAGTGAGATCCTTAAGCTATAAGTCTGAACTTCGTAATATCGAAAAGCTGAAACATTTAATCATCGATATTGATAAGGCTACTGACTAAGCTCCAACAAGAACAATTCAAAGACATCTGGAACTTGCTGTCTGAATGAAAACGTTGCTGTGAAACAAACATTCGAATCGGAAATCGGTTACATTTGGGGTCAATCAAAAGTAATTTCAAAAACCTGAACAATTCACGCCCGTCCAATGTCAATGAAGATTCAACTCCGTTTGTATTTAACTACCTATAATTGTATTTGTAATTTTAACATTAACAATAAATTAGCTGCTAGGTATATTAATTTCGTTATTTACTACCAAAAGGTAGTGGTTTACGTACACATTTAGATATTTTGCGTTGTAATTGTTCTTTGTTCGATTTTGACTATTGTATACTGAACATGGCTCACTCCAGATTTCTGCTACACAGAAATTGGTTTTTACTGATTATAAACTGTTCCTCTTTGATAGGAATGAAAATATTAGTCCCCACCGTAGATGTGGCGGTATTCTTATCTCAATTAATAATTTGTATGCCGCTAGAATGTTATATGTGCCGATAGATAATGTCGAACAACTTTTTATACGTTAACGTTAATAATCCTGTTGAAATATACAATTAATATTAGTATTCAAACCATGTAAACACACGTGCGTGTACAATGTCGTTTTCTAATAGATACTTATGCAGTTACGATATAGCTGTGTAACACCTTTACTATCGCTTTCTATATTATATACGGATACGGGATGGCCTCGATTTCATATAAATAGGGCCTTTGATGTATGTAATATTCACTTGCACAGACGCTGTCATACCGAGTGTACGCGGTGTGTGTGTATAGTCACAGTTTAATTGTCCAGTTGTACGTTATTATATATTATACTTATACATAATCATATTGTCGTGTTATTACTTATTATATTAATGCTAACATCATTAGTCCGTCAAGCTTCACTTCCAACAGGTTATGGGCCCAGTCAATAACCAAGACATACAGTCTAGTGGATTCATGATCGAAGTATTTTTATATCTGTATTAACGCAGAAAACTACAACCAGTCGGAGATATCCTGGATTTCGGAAAACGGCGGAACAGTGTACATAGGTAAAGATTTGTTATAAATTGTTATACAGGTCAAGTATACGGGAAATCATCGGTCATGGAAGACACGGTGAAGATAACAAAATTATGTGCGGAAAACTGGTCGTTATGGAAATTCCAGATGAAGGTCATTCTAAATGCCTTGGAAGTAGGTGAGATAGTTTCAGGTGAATGGACGAAACCAAGTCTACCTATAAAAAAGTCGGCAGGAGAGACCGACGAGGATGCCAAAACACGTTGGCAAAGGCAGACAAACGCTTGGCAAAAAGCGGACGGTAAATGTCAGAAAATAATAGTTACCTCAGTGGACGATGGTCCATTACAATATTTGATTAACTGTGGACTGCATTGGAAATGTGGGAGAAACTGCTGAGTATTTACGAGCAGAAGTCTGAGGCAAGTATACATTTGCTTCAACAACAATTTTTCAGTTATTCAAAGGAGTCGACAGATGACATGTCGACGCATATTTCTAAATTGGTCAATTTAGGAAGGAAACTGAGAGTAGCGGGTGAACCAGTTACGGATAACATGGTTATGACAAAAATACTAATGACATTACCAAAAGAATATAATCATTTTTACAGTGCTTGGGATTCAGTCCCAACGGGAAGTAAAAATATAAATAATTTAACTAGTCGGTTGTTGATTGAAGAATCACGGGTTATCCAGATCAAAGGTGAAGTTGGTGAACAAGAGAAATCGAGTGCATTTCCAGCCAAATTTCAAAACAGATCCGATGGAAAAAACGGCAGTTATGGTAAAGGTAAAAAACAATTTACTAATAAAAGTAATGTTAAATGTTATTACTGTGGTAAAATTGGTCATTATAAAAGAAACTGTAAGAATTTTCTAAGTAGTATGAAAGGTGGGAAAACCGGTACTACAGGTACAAATTTAAATGCATTTGTAAGCGAGTCAAGGATAAATGAAACTACAACAGATACGTGGGTTTTAGACTCAGGAGCGTCGGATCATATGAGCGCGAACCTAGAATGGTTTACAAGTTATGAACCATTGAAATATACACAACAGGTAACAATAGGTGACGGAACAAATCTATATGCAACAGGAAAAGGTAATATTAATATATTATCATACGTGAACGTTAATTGGAATAAAAATTACTTGGCAAATGTATTGCACGTGCCGGGATTAAAATTTACTTTATTCTCGTGCGGGTCAGCGTTAGACAAAGGTTTAGAACTAACGTCAGACAACAAAACGTGTGTGTTCAAAAGAAACGGGATTCCTGTATGCATAGGCCCAAGATGCGGTAGGTTGTTTGAATTACAGATCAAAGTTGAAGCACCATCGAAAGCTGAATGTTATGCGAACATTGCAGTAGAAAAACGATTAGAAGTATGGCATAAGCGTTTAGCGCACCAGAATATTCAATACGTGAGGAATTGTTTGGCAAAACATAATATTGATTATTCAGCCAAGGACGATCAATTTGTATGCAGCGACTGCATAATCGGGAAACAAAACCGTCAATCGTTCAGTAAAAGTGAGACCGAATATTTTAACGTCGGCGATTTAATACATGCAGATTTATGTGGACCGATGCAGAGGGACTCTATCGGTATGTCAAAATATTTTTTACTATTTAGAGATGACTATTCACATTACAGAACAGTATATTTTATTAAGAATAAATATGAAGTAAAAAATATTATGGAAACATTTATAAAAAGTGTTAAAACAGAAACAGGATCTAAAGTCAAAATATTAAGGACAGATAATGGGTTAGAATTTGTAAACAAGGATATTACAGGTATTCTACAGAAATATGGCATACGACACCAAACTACGGTAGCATATACGCCGGAACAGAACGGGAAAGTCGAGCGTGATAACAGAACAATCGTAGAAGCTGCCAGGACAATGATATGTGCGAAAAATCTTGACGTGTCATTATGGGCAGAAGCTGTGAACACAGCGGTTTATACACTTAATCTAACCGGAACGAGTTCACAGATTGGTAAGCCACCTTACGAGTTATATTATAAAGTCGTGCCAGATATTAAACATTTACGAGTTTTTAGTACTGCGGTATATACACACATACCAAAGCAAAAACGTCAGAAATGGGATCCA